ACGCTCCTCAGAAAAGGAGGAATCAGGGGAGAAGAAGACAGACATTCAAGATGATGAGACAGCTCCTGAAGTGAAACCTGCAGTTCGACTTTACTATGGTCAAGATATCACTGGAAACGAAGATGATTCAGTTTTTCGAAGATTGAAGGATTGTTTTTCAGATGGTTACCATGGTGAATGGGCAGGATTTTACAACAAAGGTTATCCAGCGTCTTCGAAGCATCGACATATGTTTTGGCATGTTAAGTACAGGAAGACCATGTCTCCACATCATGATTTTTGGTACCATCTTACAGATGACCAGTTGATGGTTGAGTACATTGCCAGACACAAGAATCAGGATCCACAACTAGAATTACAAGAACTTAATCAGCGCATTGAATATGGTTGTAGTGATCCAAGGATGCATCCTCTTCATCAAGACAAAGCAGAAAGATCCTCAAAAGAAGCAGAACAGAGGATTGATGACGATTTTGGAAATCTCACAAGGGTACTCCAAGATTACGTTGAGGACCACAAGGTCTTGCCTTACTGTATGATCTTGCATAGCTTGGCTTACAGGTATTTAGGTGGAGGCCTATCAGACCCAACGTACAAGGATGCTGAATTTCCATACAGATCCTCTCCACAGATAACAGCAATGTTTTGGAATTTGGGAAACTGGTGCAGAAACAGATTTGAAAAATGCCCGGTTCCAGAAAGATTTCAACAATTCATTCCACACATTGACTACACTATCGATGAGGATCATGAAAAATTTGATGAAACCAAATCACAGTTCAACAATTACTTCATCAATGTCATCAAGAACTTTGGAGGACATCTTTTCATGAATTGCGAGGCTGGTTCATTGTATCCTCACAGAGAAAGACTCGACGAGGTTGACTTTAAAACTTGCTTCAATGACTATCATGACTTGATGGTGGCAGCTCGCCTTGGAAAGGATGGCTATATCAAGCAAATTGCTGGATATCACACAGATGACAACGACACACGAGTTCGACAAGTCTCATGGGCAATCTTTGAAGTATCTTGGGGAAAGACAAAGGATCGAGATACAGATGAGATTGTTGACTTGACAAGAGCTAGGATGAGAATGACACGTGTGTGCGTTTATCACGTCGGACAGAAGTATGCATCAGACTCTGCTGGGATTGTTGGTGAGTGCTTAGCTGTTATGGCTTTTGAGTGTGCCAGATATCAAGTTGACTTCATCGCAGGTGATGGAAACAAGGCATGCTATTACAGCACACCAAAATCTCCAGGTGTCCCTACATATCAACACAGCCTTATCCAATTCTGGATTAACAGAATGGTAGGTGTTGCAACACAAGCCATGCGCAAGAATTTTGATCCAACTTGCCCTCCAATCAGGGTCAAGCATTTCATTTCTTGCAGTTATCGTGACTTGGATTTTCTTGCAACGCACTTAGATGGCATTACAACAGCAACATACACCGACGAGCTCATGAACAAGACAAATGGTAAAGGTGATTGTTGTATGTTAACAGTTGTTGAGTGGGGTCATTCACGTTTGATGTGTGAGGAACACCCAGAAGACTTTGAGGATGAAGATCACATGAACTATGTGGGTGAATTTTACTTCAAGGTAAATGAAACTTGCTTACATGGTGATCACAACATCTTCATGGTTGCTCCAAATGATCGCGATGCTCATAATCCAATTCTTATCCATCTTGATCCTTCTGATATGTCATGGAATGAACGACATCATTACAAACAGGCCTACAAGAAGAAGCAGTATGCTGATTCAAGAAAGGAAAGACAGAAGGAGAAAAAGAGAAAGGCATATGAAGATCAAGCATCGACGTATCAGGGCAACACAGAGTGGGGTGGATCCTCATCTTCAGCGTCCAGACCATGGAGATCAAGTGAGTGGCGATGAGTGAGTGTACACTTCTTTAATTGAAGATAACACAGCATGAGAAGCCGTGTACAGTTTTTCTGTGCGTTCAACTTATTTCACACAGATGGCATATACTCTTTTAGATAGAGATAATGCCACAAGTGTCTGAACTTCAATTTAATGTAAAATAGAGACTCTTGTAAATAGAGATACTATATACATTTATCTCCATGAATCATCCGGCGAGCAGACCACTCCGAATGGAGCGAACTTCAAAAATTTACCAACTTCGATTTCAGTCCATTGTTTGCTTGAATGAGCAACCTTGGAGATCCGCTATTTCCGTTTATTTCGTGATTTGGTCAATTGTTTTTCGTATGACCTGAATTTCTGAATCTTGCGAACCCGAACTTTTCAATTCGAACTTTCACCGGTAGAGCGAGGCATTTTGCCTGTGGAGAGACCGTGCGCGAAGCACCATTGGTCGCTACTGGAAAAATTAGCGAATCCGCTGTTCTTTTTCGACATGTCCTTAGGACATTCGCTGCTTTCACGTGTTTTTCAATTCGAAGCCACTGCGTAACTCCGGTTTCTTTTGCTATTTGCCATTGTGTAGAGAAGTCAGGAAGATACTCTTAATACCAATTGGGTACGGCAAGGCGTAGTGCTCTACTCATTGCTTTTGAATTTGTGCCTGTGTTTTTGTTTCGACCTAATACCTACATAGGTACATGCATGAGTATTGAGCACATTTATATGCGCCCTTCAAGGCTCAAGAAAGAGGTATATAGAGTAACCCTGTAGACAAGCACTGACCGGCAACAGGCTGAGAGTAAAAGAGTGCTGTCATTGGGGAAGACGCCTTAGCTGATCTTGAAGTAGACGCTAGGGCCCCTCTTCACCCCACCCCCCCCCCTCCACACCTCCCACGCACCCTAAGAGCAGACTCAAAACATTGTAATTTACAGTATGTTTGTTCTTTTCGGATCAAGAAACCACATTTTGCTACATGGTGAAACCTCCGTAAATACCAGTGTTTTTGCTAGGTGCTGGCCAAAAACACTGTAAATACCGTGCTTTTTACTACCAGAGGCAAAAAACATCGTAAATACCGTGGTTTTGGGCTTCCGACCCGCCAAAAACATCGGTATTTACGGTGTTTTTTGCTCCGAGAGTTGCAAAAACACGCGAAAACACCACCGATTTGACGATTTTCGGCCACTACGGAACCGAGCAAAAACGCTGCAGGGGTAACACCAACACCAACAACAACAACACCAACACCAACAGCAACAGCAACAACAACAACGACGACAACAACAACAACAACAACACCAACACACAACGCACAATGCACAACGCACAACGCACAATGCACAACGCACAACGCACAACGCACAACACACAAAACACACAACACACACACACAACACACACAACACACCACAACACACCACAACACACAACAACACACAACAACACACAACAACACACAACAACACACAACAACACACAACAACACACAACAACACACACCACCACACAACAACACACAACAACACACAACAACACACAACAACACACAACAACACACAACAACACACAACAACACACAACAACACACAACAACACACAACAACACACAACAACACACAACAACACACAACAACACACAAAAACACACAACAACACACAACAACACACAACAACACACAACAACACACAACAACACACAACAACACACAACAACACACAACAACACACAACAACACACAACAACACACAACAACACACAACAACACACAACAACACACAACAACAGACACAACAACAACACAGACAACAACAACAACAACAACAACAACAACAACAACAGACAACAACAACAACAACAACAACAACAGACAACAACAACAACAACAGACAACAACAACAACAACAGACAACAACACACAACAACACACAACAACACACAACAACACACAACAACACACAACAACACACAACAACACACAACAACACACAACAACACACAACAACACACAACAACACACAACAACACACAACAAACACACAACAACACACAACAACACAAACAACAACACACAACAACACACAACAACACACAACAACACACAATAACACACAACACACAACAACACACAACAACACACAACAACACACACAACAACACACACAACAACACACAACAACAACAACAACAACAACACACAACAACACACAACAACACACAACAACACACAACAACACACAACAACACACAACAACATACAACAACACACAACAACACACACAACAACACAAACAACACAAACAACACACAACAACACACCACAACACACCACAACACACACAACAACACACAACAACACACAACAACACACAACACACACAACACACACAACAACACAACACACACCACACACAACAACACACAACAACACACAACAACACACAACAACACACAACAACAACACAACAACACACAACAACACACAACAACAACACAACAACACACAACAACAACAACAAGCAACAACAACACCAGCAACACAACAACAACAGCAACAACAACAACAACAACAACACGAACACAAACAATACCAACACCAACAACACGACCAACAACACCAACACCACCAACAAACCCAACCACACCAACAACACTAACAACACTAACAACACCAGAAACACTACCACCACCAACAACACCAACAACACCAATACCAACAACACCAACAACACCAACACCACCAGCACCACCAACACCACCAACACCACAACCACCACCAACCCCAACCACATCGCCGAAGCCTTTCAGTCGCTTTTACCAGACTCCCCTTCATATTTTTGGAAAGAAAATGGCCGCGTCGCTTTTACCAGACTCCACTTTATGTTTTTTTCCCTGCCCTCTCCCCTTCATTTTTTCTTCGGTTCCTTTCTTGCTTACCTACCTTTCGTGTTCCCCCTCTCAAGTCTTTAAATGATCATGATGAATATTGATTACTATGTTGATTACTATTGACTAATGTGGCTTACACAGAGAATCTTCGACAAGAATTCAGATGAATTCGAGAAAAGGGATAGCTTTCTGCATCCACGGAACTTGCAGGAGCCTCCTGTCAAAGCATCACCAGGCATGGGATCATAGAATGCAGCGGCAAGATGCGCCAAGGGTCATAGAATGCCACAATAATGTGACGGTGGCCTGCGCATTTCATGTTCTCTGACAGCAGAATATTAAGCCGGAATCAACAATATCAACAGAAGTCAAGCCGGAAATCAGTGGCAGTGCCTTCCAATGAGGATAACTTTCTGAAACATTTGAAAACGCCTGAGACTGTGAAACGTGTTTCACCACGCTCTTTGCACGTTTCTTTTCACGGCACAAGAGTTCGTCGTCTTCCCTATTGCCTGGCAGGGAAGAAAGGCAAAGGAAAAGGCGATCCATCCGAAACCTGACTTGTGGCAGATGGGAAATTCGAATGCAGAGAATTTGCAGAACATGCGGAGATGTGCAATAGAGAATAATGATTAATATAGAAAGTCTTGAAAACTTGAAAGTCTTAATATCTGAAAGTCTTGAACTGCTCTGACAGAGCAGGGTGTAAACGCCTTCAAATCATTGTCCGTCAATTCGCTATCAAAATAATTCATGTCAGTTTCCTCACAGCCTTTTGCGAAGGCAAGTATGATGACTATGAGGAGGAGCTTGTGGGAGGGCAGTACCATGAAATGCTTGAAATGATTGAAATGATGCTTGTGAGAATCTTTAAAGCGACGTTTGCCTTGCCTTCGTGGTTGCTTTTTATTGGTTCAGCGGTGATCTAGGTTTGACTAAGTCCAGTTCCAATTCGGCTCAGACCGGCTGCAACTGTGAAAAAGATTGTGTGAAAGAGACATAAAGAACATGTACAGAACATATATTCGGAATTATTCCGACATGTTTGGTCTCTTCGGCCCAGAGTGTTCGACGTGTTGAAATGTGTTGAAAATGTGTTTGTGAGGAGCCCGTGGTGAAGGGCAAAGGAAAGGGCAAAGCCAAGAAGGAGAAGGAGGTCGTTGCCGTTGCGCCCAAGGGGAAATCCAAGGGCAAAGGCGAAGCCAAAGGAAAAGGCAAGGAGAAAGCGCCAGAGCCCGTCAAGGGCAAGGGCAAAGGCAAAGGCCAGGCCCAAAATGCACCCAAAAATGCACCCAAAAATGCACCAACATTGCCAGAGAACGATGAGAACGCTGTTCACGAGGGATCCAAAAAAGTATGACATACGCTCTGACAGAAAACAAACGCAACTGTTCAATCAGCTGCTCATCAAATGTTTGTCACGAGTTGAGTTGACCTTGTTTTCTTTTCTTTTCCACAGGCAAAGTGAAGGAGGAGTATGAGGAGCCTCCTAAGGGAAAGAGCAAAGGCCGCGCATTGACCCCGATCCAAGTGTGACTGCTTCCACCCGTGCCACCGTTGAACCTGCCGTTGAACCTGCCGTTGAACCTGCTGCGTTTTCGAGGCAAGGGCAAAGAGGGCAAAGGAAAGAGCAAAGAAGAAGATCCTCCTCTCAGGCCACATTGTCACATCGCCACATCGCCTTGCCAAATGGCTACATGTTCAGATTGCTATTCTCGTTGAGGGTCTCATGATATTCTCATGATATTCTCATCTTGGTAGAGGGTTCCAGGAAGTTCCACGTTTACGGGTGCGCTTATGTGCTCTTGCACTTATCTATGTATTTCAACGCGCATGTAGATGTTCAGCAAACAAGGGCCAACAGGGCCTTTGTTAAGCAGCCGATCTCGCACCGCAAATCGTACAGGAAGGGAAAGGGCAAGGGCAAAGGCAAAGAAGAGCCCAAGGGCAAGGCAAAAGGTAAAGGAAAGAAGGCCTTCCAGCCCCAGAAGTCCCAGAAGTCCCAGTCCCCCATAGTCACCCTCAAAGTTTTCCCTGGAAGTCGGTTCGGGTGACGTGTCATCTGATTCACTCCCTGAGACCCCTGAGATTCTTTGTGCCTGCTGGAGCTGATGTTATGTGTCAGGGAGAGTGTTGAGAGTGTATGAGGCGCGTAGATGCGCTTAGGGTATTTGTGTTTGTTTCAATATGTTTCAATGATTGACATATATTGAACTGGAAGATAAAGAACATTAAGGAACCGGATGAGATGTAGGCCCTATAGGCAAAAATGTGTCCATGCAGAGACAAAATACGTGCACTGTGTGGCCGTAGTGGCCCTGTGCGATTTGGCTGAACCTGCTGACAGTCTGCTGATAGCTGCTGAGGGCTGGAAATCAAAATGAGCACAATCTGCTGATCCTCTGAGGGATTCCCAGCCGCGAGACCCAATTCGCACAGCTGATTCAGCTTTGCTGAGACTGCTCACCTCGCATTCCGTTTCTACATGTTCACATCTTTTCACTTGGTGTTCATTTTACGTTATTTGCATTGACATATATTGACATGCTTTGTCATCTATTGTCTTGTCTCTATGATATTCTATGATTCTCATCATTATTGCCCTTTTTGAAGGACACCAAGTGTAGAGATTCGTGGAAACGTGTTGCAAGGTGCATGTCTCGGCAGTGAGCATGTCACGCTACAAATCAGCTGTGACAAATCGAACGGGTAGAAAACGGGTAGAAAATCCAGACTGAATCGATCTGAATCGGTCTGAATAAGCGCGCAGTCCTCAGGGGCTGCCTGTTCTTTAGCGGATGGCCGGGATGGCAGCATCCAATGGCATCCAATGGCAATTTCAACGTGTGACGGGGCCATGTTATTTTGAGACCCGGAGCCTTGTCCAAATGGCAATGCACATCGGCACAACCGGTAGAGTAGTAGAGCTTGAGCGCGCGAAAAGATCTCAGAGCTACATCAGAGCGGAGATTCTGACGCCATGTGGGAAAGTGCTACATCCATGTGGATTTTGATGATTTTGATTGCACTCATGGGATTTCTGGGACCCTGAGACAGGCACCGAATGAAGATCATGAAGTAGTTGATGAAGTAGTTGGAACATGTTGGAATGAATTCGGTATATTAAAGTGTTCGAACATGTTCGATGAATTTGTCTCGTTACCATTGTTGTTACCATTGTTCCCGTTCAAAGACCATCGATCGAATCGTTCCCGGCGGGCCTTTCGGCTGGTAACCGGCTGGTAGCAAGCTCAAATCAGTCCATCCAACCCGCCTTGCAGGTGCCTTGATCAGAATCATATGGACCGCCATCCATAGCCATCCATAGCCATCCATAGCCATCATAGCCATCATAGCTTTAGATTCGAAACTTGCTATGAACATATGCATCATATGGATCATATGGATCACATCTTATGCATATCTTATGCATATCTTATGCATATATTTTATAGTAATGTAGTCATATCTGATTCCAACGAGTTGGGATACCATCCAGATAGACCATGATAGACCCATATCAAGGAGGTCAGGAATTATGCATGATTTGGATGATTTGGATGATGTGTGCAGCAGATTGCCTGCTGCACATTAGCTTTCGTTTGATAACGCAACTGCTATTGTTTTATTGGACCGTCGCTTTGGCATCATGTTCTTTTCTTGCGAGACCTTGATTTTCCTTGCAGCCGAGCTTGTCTGACAGGTGCAGCGATGTACCATGATGCAGCCCTGCCAAAAGTTAAGTGCAAGTTGTGAGTCTGCAATCTTTGAAGCATTTCGGAGCTACCTCAACGTAGATTTGTAAACAAAAATCGAGTGCGATGAGACCAAGAAGATCTGGACTGCAAAGTCTGTAGGGGGCCGGTAATTCGGATGCCACCATTTCGGGGCCACGGTGCCCAGACGTTGCCAGACGCTGCCAGGGTGGCGAAGAGCTAAGGGAAAGACACGGCTGCTCGTGGCTTAGTGGCTCAGTGGCTCCAGGCTTCACTGGAGACGAAGAGCGATACGTATCACACGGCTCGATTTGATTTCTAGATTTGATGCAAAAAAATGTGATAATATTGTGATATATTGTTAATATATATATATGTTAATGTATTATTGTGATATTGGTTTTGGATATGATTTGATACTAGATGTTAAATGATATTACTGGATTTCTGCATTTTACTATAGATACTTGCCATCAGGCAAGATGAGGTATCTGCAGTATCCCGGAATATCGCAGATATCAAAGATGCACGACGCACGCTGAGGCACTGATGTGCCATGTTGCCTAGTCTTTCTCGGGAGTCTGGTGGGACTCGGTTGCCTCTTCAGCAACTTGACTGAACGAGACTACATTAAATATCATTTAGTATCATTAAATATCATTAAATGGTAATGAGATCATCTGAGATAGTACATGAAACACCATGAAACTAAGGTTACTCAGCTGTGAAACTACTAGTTTCCTGGTGTAACCACGGACAAGGGGTGACCGCCACAAAGGCCCCCAGGGTTGCAAGAAGTCTCCAGGGATTGCTGGTCTCTGATAGTCTGGTTGATGGTTCATACTGCAACCCTTTCACAAGATTTCACAAGACCATATAAGGACCATATATGTTGGAGATTTGGTGGTATTTTTTGTGTACCCTCAGGATGCTGCCGGATGGGAAGTTTGAGAAATATGAAAACAAAGATGCGCAGAGTATGGGACAGGAGATTCCGCAACTATTTCTGACTGAAATCTCTCGGCACTTCTGTTGTCGCGGGCCCATGAGTTCTGGATAGTTCTGGTGGTTTTCATTCCATGATGACTTTTGAGGGTACAACCAGAACGTACATCCCGATGTCGAACCATTCCGATGTACTAGAAAGGTCAGCAGCTGAAAACTAGGTGGTTTGCGAGCAAGGACGCCAAGGAGTATACATCAAAAGCATTCAAAAGCAACAAATGGTTGATTCTCATCGAGGATGCAAGCGTTGGATTGATTCCACTGCTAATCCTGGTAATCATTCCTAAGTCAACAAACCATCGACACTTTGAGTATTGTCAAGATCTAGCCCACAACAGTGGAATCTCAATAATATTCAATAATCTCAACCAGCAAAAACCACCAATTCAGATACAATTCGGATGACTAAAGTTGACTAAAGATACAATTCAGATAGATCAGGCAGAAAATCCCAAGGATCCCAAGGGCTCGGCATGGCTCGGCCTGCGAGGCTATGGCGTAAGCCACGGGAACCTGGACAAGTCGATGGCCCAACACATCCCAACACCTTTCGTCAATGTTCGTCATTTGATGTCACAATGATCATCAATGATCGGATGATGGTCCTTTAGCAACTTTAGCTTCATATTTTTTTCATAATATTTCACAATGCTTCATCTTTGTGGTCAGCTTTGATTGGTCCATTTGAAACCAATTTGTGTCACAAGTTGCGAGGCTTTATCACGGAATCGATTACAGGGGCAGGATCTGTGGCATTGATGTCCCCGGCAAGCTGGAAACTCATGGAAACTCAGAAGAGCTGAAGGAGAGGAGATGATCAAAGAAGATCAAAGAGATCAAAGAGATCAAAGATGTAGGTTTCATGACGTTTGATTGCGTTAATTACAGTTTGAAGAAATCTGTTGAAACATGTCCAACCCTTTGACAGTTGACATGAGTTGACATGAGTTGACATGACACTTGTGCATCTTGTGAATGAACAGATTTCGCGAGGCCATACTTGTTTTGGTGCATGAACTCCGTAGGGAAGCTCAGCTTGCTCAGTCGCCTGCGAAACGATGTTCGTGTCACATGCGTAGCTGCTGCGTTACCGTTGCACCTCTGGCGGAGGCCATGGCAGGGGCGTCGTTGTCGTTGAACTTGGCCCGGGAGCCTCAGAAATCCGAAAATCGAGACGATCGTTGACGACGACATGTTTGAGACATGTTTGAGACATGACAAAACCCATTCTCTGGGAACTGGGGAAGGTATGTCGGTACAAGGTCGATCTCAAGCCCGAGCAATGTGACAAGAGAAATGACATCATTTGCATCTGCAAAGTATGAAGAAAACAGTACTGGAAATTGTTTGTGATTGATTGATATGCGACATCATTTCAGCAAATGCACAGCAGAAACCAGAGCAGAAACGAGAAAACGGAGAGAACTGCTCGGTGTGTTGTTTCCGCGACCAGAAAGAGCCGATCTGCGTGGAGAGCTGCCCGGGAGTCCAAGCGCGGCCGCCCAGCCTGAGAGATAGCGGCATTGTTGGAGGATGGCTTGAGTCGGAATAGTCGGATAGAGTCAGAAAGGAAGGATGGCTGGACCTGGCTGGAAGGTCTTGTCTTATCCTTGATTTTCGGGTGATCGGGGAAGCGTGGATTGTCATATCCTCATCATGGATATCAACTGCAGTTGCTTGACCTGTAAATAACCCCTCCTCCCATGGCATAGGCATATCATATAGATATATCATGATATATCATTAGCAATTTGTATGCTCGAATTGAGTCCCAATTTGGTTCTATGAATTGAATTTGTTGGTTTGTACTTTGGCTCCTTGGCTGGTCACACGATGGTCTGGTCTGTGGTACTCGGACCTCGGATCGATCTCGGAAGATCTCGTTCGGCATCGGCCAGGCGACGGGGGGTCTCTATGCCCCAGCCACGGAGTGTAAGCCCGGTCCCCAATGGCCCAATGGCCCAATGGCCCAATGGTCCCAGGGATCACCGCAGTGAATCTGGATGTCCCGAATCTGTCCGCCATTCTGTCCTAATTTTCTCCTAATTTTCTACTTTTCCTTGTCTCATCTTGTCTCCGTCGGAAAAAAACAGCACTGAAAGTGATGACAGATGTTCAATCAGGAAAGGGGTCGGAAAGATTTCAACGATAACCAAGGCAGGTGTCTGCTGCTCAGCAGATCAACTCCTACAAGACCATGGTGGTCATGAACCGCTACTGCTTTCCGGTGCGCCAACACTCTGCAGCTTTGAGCAGTCCGATGTTGCAAACATGAGAGTTGAATCCTCTCAAGTTGCACTCAGAACAAAGCCATGGTGAAATGACTGACCATTCTCCCCACATGTTTTCCACCTTGATTTGTTCTGGGAAATCCCAGAAAAGTGTTCTTTCAGCAACCATGCCTTTCAGCACATGATGCATGATCTAAATATATATATATATATATCTTCTAAACAACCGTTAAGCAACTTAACAACCATGCACTTTTTCAACGTGTTTCAACGTTTTTCAACGTTTTCAACGTACAGAGACCAGATGAGATGCTCGATGAGACGCTGTGAAGGACACATCTGGTCTAATGAAGGGTGCTGCTGATTCCCTGCAAGCGGGTGTGCTGCTCAAAACGCGTGTCGTGACATGTGGTGCCGTGTCGTGCCTCGCTGAACAGTTCAGAAACCATGTCGAGCTTTTCTCAAAAGAACTAATTGAAAAAAAAACAACTTTTTGGACATCAGAACTGACCTTTGCTGAGAGCAGCGTTCAGGAGGTGTTCTTGTTGCTTTGTTGAGCTTTGATGTGTCAACTTGACCAAAGTGAAGGTCGTGATGAAACGTCCAAGGACTAGAGAATCAGCACACGGAGCGCTTCTTAGAACAAGTGGCGCCGGGAACGCTCAGATACCCGAGACGGCCCGAGACGGCCCGAGACGTTGCAAATCTCAGGTCTTCTCAGTCCCAAAAGTTCACAAAAGGCTTCTGTTTTCCATTGCTATTCCAAGCCATTCCAATGGGAATGAGCAGAATGCAAAAAATAATGCTATCAATGCTATCATGGCCAATGAATGCCAATGAATGCCAATGAGCTCAAAGCCATCTTTGAAAAATGCTCACGATCTCCATCGACTGCTAAGGTCGATTCCAAGTGCCTGGCCGGTTCTACTGCTCACCTTCTTTGTGGCGATTCTGCTGGGGTGATCCGGGGCTTCGGCTCCCGGCTTTGTGGCTGGGAATGAGGGCCATGGAAGTCAACAGGGCAGGGGGAAGATGAGGGAGCAGGATTCGAATGGAAATGAAACCTGAAGATGGGAAAACATGTTCTCTTAACCATTGAGATCAGCTTCAAACGGTCTATTTATGGCATGTATTTATGGTATTATTTAGTGTCATGATGTGTCATGATGTGTCATCTAAAGTCCTTGAACCATTTGCATTCATCTACTTTTCTGATCTGTGGACAGGTACGTATATTTGGCAGCGTTGCGCCACTGTGCCTCTGTTCTCATTTGGCAGCGATCTTGGTTCACCAAATCTCAGAAATTGTTTGGATCGCCGTTTTGACCACGTTTTTGGCAGCTGCTGCATCAGCTGCTTCTCATATCTTCATTATCTTCTCATTGTGTGACGGTGTCAGAGATGTGTTTTGTAATGTGTTGTGACCTTTTGTCACGTTTGCGTTGCAAAGGTTGGTGATGGCGTTTTCGATCTGCAGCTCAGCCTTTTTGGGCGTCTACCTTTGGGTGCGCTCGGTCATCGAATCTGTCGAATCTGTGCCGTGAACTCAAGGATAGAGGCATAGAGCGTTGAATAGAGCGTTGGACGACCCCAGCCTGCAATATATAATAACAATAATAATATATTGTACATTATTGTCGATTTTTGTACATGACTGTAGCAATGAATGAAGCAATATGAAGCAATGAATGTGGCTTTGAATTGAAAAGGCTTGCAACTTTGGTCCACCGTAACCCGTGACACGATCCCATAAAACACGTAAACTCTACGACCTTGACACGATCGACTTGACATGGACAGGCCAATGCTGGGCTGTTGTCGAAGCACCTGCCGCCAGATGTTGTGCCACCTGAAGGCCGTTGATGTTTCGAATGACAAATGATTTCGAATGTCTGGGAGACATTTTTGGAGAGTTGGAGTCTGAGTCGACTGAGTCGACCTGGAGGCTTTGGAAAAGATGAGGAGACTGCAACGAAGGTGCGAATCAGTGAAGCTGTGCTTAAACCCATGTGAATCTCATGTGAATCTCATGTGATGTTATGTGCCATGGGCAAAGAAATGGTATACCCATATTGATAGTCATCAATCCATTAGGATAAGCATGGATAAACTATGCCAATTAGCAGGATTTCCATTATGGGATGGATATTTTGTTCCGTTTCCAGGTTGCAAATGGTTTCTTCAAAAGTCGATATCTTGCGAATCTGAATCTGTCACGAAGAATTCGTTCAGGTCGTGGCGGTGCTGTGTTGGGTCAGTTGCGGCGTCTCTATCTGCATCGCCTGTTGCTGCCACTCGAGCATCCAGGTGCGGAGATCGACACTTCAAATATTAGTGTTAATATAATATAATATTATAATATATATATATATACGTATATATATATATAATTTAATAGTTACTGCAGTTACAATTAGATCAATTAGTAGTTTAAAGATGTTTGAAGACAATGGTGATGCATGGATTTCATCATATCTTACACCATCTCACAGCGGATTTTCTGGGAATGTGTTCGTTGGGTCTTTTAGCATCAGGACTTCGAAAGTGAAGCCATACTGTATGCTGGACTGCCAAAAAGGAACTTGACAAAACCCCTGGGAGTTTGTAGCCAGGCTGCAGTGGATTGCATAGAAGCAGCTTGCGAGGCCAAACATGGCTTTCTGACATGGCTCTGTGGCTCATCTGACTGTGGCGTGTTTTTCTACGAGTATGACACCTACACGTGACGTTTTAGACCATTTCAGATCATTTTAGCCCATTTGAACTTCTCAGCATTTGGAACTTGTGATCTTTTTGTGATCTTTATGATTTTTGTGATCTTTGTGGTTGCGGGTGCCCTGCTAGGCGATCTATGAGATGTTGCCGGCTCAGCTCCATGGTGCACCCTGTCAACGATCATCATGTCGTCATGTCGTCATGCCCAGGTCGTCCTTGCTTCTGGCACCGATCTTCAAGGTCAGATGTATCACACCTTGCGTAGCGGCGTAGCCAGACGGGAACTTCTGGGAAGGATGTGAAACTGGCGGATTTTAGGAGCAAAATCATACAAAGCTTCAGAAAGATGTCAAAGTCATTGGGGATCAAACTCAGCCGGGGAAAGGAAGGCAAGGAAGGCCGCATAGGAATCTGATCTCATTAATGTCTTCAATGATTTGCAGATTGCTTAGAGCTCTTATCTCAGCTGATCTCAGCCGATCTCTGCAAGGCCATTGTGCAAGCAGTCGCCTTTGCTCTCCTGCTCTGGGGCTTCTTTGCTCTACTGTTTGGGCTTCAAGTCAACTCCAGTTGCCGTCGCACGTCCCACAAGTGTCGCATGACTGATTTGGAACTGAGGTCAACAGCAGAAGTGTCTGAACCCAAAGAAGGAACGGTGGTTGGAAGCCCCGACGTGTTTGTTGTGCGATTTCTGCAGCCGCAGCCATTCGATCTGGTATGATTCTGTGCCAAATCTGGGTGCGCCATGGAAGTTGAAGGCTGTTTCCCAAAGACGATCGCCGACAACCTCTACAACCTCGGATGTTGTCAAACAGCAAGGATCAAAACAAAGCACGGCCCTTCGTCAACCACAAACAGCCCCACAGCGACACGGTCCAGAGCCAGAAAGGACCCCTATTCTGTAAGGTATCCGGATGTATTCCGGAGTCATGTCTCATGTATATTCAACCGCCTTCGGCGTGTTCCGCCGGCCACCATGGGAAGAGCTGTCCTGTAGGCTGCAAACAGCCCTTGCACAGGCCCAGCAAGAACATGGTTTTTGTTTTTGTGTAAAACATAGTGTTTGTGGAGAACACAGTTTTTGTGTAAAACAGTTCTTTGTGTAAAAGATGTTTTGGACGCAAAAAACATTGGTTTTGTTCAAACCGCGGTTTAAGTTTAAACCAAAGCATATGTGTGTAAACCAGGGGTTTTGGAAGAGGCCATATTGAGAACGGCCTTGGAAAAGGCCATATTTAGAAAGGTTATGCGTGTGAAAGGCGTTCGGCACAAAAGCCAGTGGCATTGGATATAAGAAGCGACGGAGCAAACCGATGGCAAAAACAACAAAAAAAAGGGAAACAACTATCGAAATGGCAGCAAGGTGTGCAAAACCAAGCCGGTGTTGAGCAAGGCAAGGGGGGGTTCAAGCTAGACGAGGCAAAAATCCGCGCCAAGGGGAAAGTCTGAATCAGACGAAGACAAAACCGACAGCGCAACTACGAACAAGCAAGATCCACAAGATACGCCGGCAGGCCGGCGGATTCATATGAGTAACCCTCTGCCTCTGGGAGGGGTATATAAGTCAGGCTTGTGTGAACTTTGAAATTCCATGAAAATCCTTTGTCTGAGCTGTGCTTGTGGCTTTCCCAACTGTCCCTTGATGTTGTACTGAACTTTACTAAACTTGCAGAAAAGAAAAGTCTTTTGGCATCAGTTCAGAATGGGCAAAGAATTTGAGGCTGCAGAGTCATTTTTTAAAGTCATCACGTGAGTTGCCTGCCAGATGCTCTGTCTGGACAGATACAGGGAGCGCAACACTCAGTCACTCAGTGTCGTGTTTACCTGTTTTTGCTGCGTGCAATCCGGTTTCGATAAAGCCTCCTGCTTCAGTCATGGAACCAACTTGGCCAAAAGCTGCCCCGAACAGGTCTTGAGCTGTTTCCAGGTGACATAAGATCTTCAAGGTTTCATGCGACGAAGGTGATTACATTATGTGATTATATATTATACTACTATACAATATAATATTACATTACTTATATATATATATTGCAGAATATATTGAATGCTTCATTTTTTCTTGGTTCTCATCTGACGTTTCGATGACGTTTCGATGTTGCGACGTTTCGACGTTTCACATCGTTTCCAGGTGGCACGGCATTTGCATCTGACCACGGAGCAGAAGTCGTCAGCTTAGACCGACCCATGAGCAAAGCACCAGTGACACCGGTGACACCGTGATTTGGGACGTCGCCAGGATCATGGTGGTGGCGTACTTGCTGATGCCTTAAACAAAATCTCAATCAAAACAGCTTCAGACCTTCAACTGCAACTGTCTGCGACTGTTTGCGACTGAATGTGTCACATGTGTCAAAATAACCCACTTTTGGAATCTCTGTGGAATACCGGAATACCTTGTCTCAAGCACGGGGATGTGAAAAGGGCCACAGACATTTGCCATATTTTGGCATTGTTAGCTGTGCCAAGTTTCATCGCCGTTTGGATCGAAATGTGGCTGCACGCCCTGTGCGCAATCGCAGAGTCCGTCTCTTTTCTGCGAACTAAAGCCACATAAAGCCATTTAAAGCCATTGTAATCAATGTATAGTCAATGTCTTCGAGCCTTCCGAGCTGCGAATCCATCTTACATGGTTTATATTCTGAAGCTGAGCTTTCAAATGATTCAGAGTTACGTGAATCAATTCATATTCAGATTTGAATCAGAGTCGTTGATGTTGTGAAGAGGACATTTTTCTAGGATCAGAACACATGTCGTTGTGAAGGCCTTGGAATAGAGTTTCACAACATTTCATAACCGTGTCGGACATGTCGTTGGAGAGGTACCAATTTGTCATCGCGTATGCCATGGCTGGGAGCTGGCATGTTTGGACACGCTGGAGGATGTGTCAGATGCCAAACCGAATTATTGCTTCGCCCTGTTCTGCCTCAGCCTAGTTATGCCTAGTTTATAATTTTTATAAGTGCATTCATTTTATCCCTTCATCTCTCAGGTTTTGTCAAACTCATGCATTTCTATCTCCATGTTCATTGTGATCAAACCTTCCTCTTTCAAAGCTAAGAGATGACACGAGAGAGAGAGAGAGGGGCTCCCTCTCTTGATCACATTGCATCGTCGTTTGATCATTGTCTTTTGGTTTTGTCCAATTGCAAATTGTTCCCTCTGTATGCGCAGTGTGGTCCGTAGAGGAGAAGAATGCTGAGAAGTTCTAATTGACTTGGAATTTTGGCATGACTAATTACAGTTGCAGAGCAGGGCCCAAAACTTGTTTCACTTGAAAGATACTGCTCCTTTTAACTGAACTCAAAGCCTGCTGAGAAAGACGTGTTCCAAAAATCATAAAGGAGGTCTTCCATGAGGAAGCTGAGTCTGTGGTGTTTGCACAGAAAAAAGCAACATAAAGCAACAAACAGAAAGCGACTTTGGGAATAGTAACCGTTGTACCCGTTGTACCTGTTGACATTTCACATGGTTGTTTGGGATGGGACACCGCATCTTGGTGCTTGGTGTATCTCTTTCTATTTGTTTCTATCACTTTTCTATCTGCTTCCAAATCCATGGTCTACCTGGATTCTACCTCCCGATGCGTTCACGCAGTGCCAGGCGGAGTATCACTTGTCGCCTGAAGATCATGAGGGCTACAGAGCTTCCCAGCCGCATTGGAGGGTGCATGGCGCAACATGGCGCAACATGGCGCATGGTGCAACCGCAGCTCTGTGTGAAGTAAACACGGCACGTTGAAGGCTTTTCAACACACTTCACTTGAACAGGGAATCTTTGGGAATCGAACTGGGATGGAACTGCTGCAAACTGATGTGGCATGATGTGGTGCAAAGTTTGATCCGAGGAAATCGGAGGTGGCTGCTGCGCTTTGACAGATGGCATTCAGGCGATCTCCGTTGTGAGTTGCTGCAAGTTCTCACATGAGTTGTATCATGTTGTATCAATTCTTGAATCAAGTTGTATCAAGTGGTAAATGTAACATGCAAATAATATGCAACAAGCTTCCAGTTCTTTGGAGGGCAAAGTACATCCTGCCACAGGAGAAGTGATAGCCTCATACCATTGAGAAATGCAGGGGATAGGATGGGAGCTATGGGAGCTGTGCAGGTGGGATTGCTTTGTCACGCTGGCTCGCTGGCGATGGGTTCTTTCCTGGTGACTGCCTTCTTCGTTCGGCACCAAGTACAGAATGTGCAGACAAGTACATAGGCGAGTTTAGGCAAGTTTAGGCGAGCATGCGAATGCAACGAATGCAATATACAATGCAACAAATGCAAAGACCAAGCACCACATTCATGTGCGCTTCGACCCACATGTTTGAGCTTCGTTGCACAGTGAGTCGTGGCATGCACCAGGTTCGGCACATGAGACTCGCCATTGCTTTCTCTCAGGTCCTGCAAGTCCTGGTGAACATCTTTGAAGCCGCCAACAAGGATGACGATATGACGCAATGTGATACGATCCAACGAACACCAACACTACGATGACTGCGATGACACATGTACAACACATTGACATCACAAATCATCACAACAAACGGTTCAAAGATGTTGAAAGCTCAAACGATCTGATTGCTAGGAAGGGAGGGAAGATGAGGGAAGGCACAAGCTGTGACGCTATCTCACACTGTGATATCACACTGTGACGCACAGGAGGAGACCGAGAACCCTTGCGCGAAGTGTTTGCTCAACGTCGGGGAACCAAGGTTTGTTGTACCATGTTGTACCGGGCAGAAGATTTAAAGAGTGAGAGGAATTTTGACTTCTTAGACTTAAGTCTTAGACCTGGTCGTGGACAAGAAATTTGTTTGCGTTGTTTCATGTTGTTTCGTTTTGTCCCGTTGTAGCACCCGTCAGTGCGTGAAGTGCTGCCTGGCTTGCTTCGAGAAGATTGTGGAGTTCTTGAACAAGAATGCAGCACTCTCAGGTGGTCATACTGCAGGGCTAGGCGAATCTAGGGGCAGTAGGCAGGTGATTCCAGTCTCAGAAGAAAGACTTGAGGAAACTAAGAGCCCCACGACTTCAAAAGTTCTATATTTTGGCTGCACTTTTAACATCTTTTAACGACAGAGTGCCTCCGCATATCAAGATGCTCAATTGCGGGGTCGTCTATTGTTAAGCGGTCTTTCTCCACGTATTAAGATGTTCAAGTGAGATTCAAGTGCGCGATGCTCAAAATACTGCAGTTGTTCTTGCAGTGCGAGCACCAAAGCAGTGAAGAGGAAACAAGTTGCAGCTTTTACCTTTGGCAGGTCTTACAAACTCGGACAAGACTGGCTCAAAACTTGTGGATGTGCCGAGGCTTATGTGGATATTGCTATGACTTCGAACGATTATTGCACTGCGGTGAGGCGCACATCACATACCATCCTAGACCATGCAAAACGAATTCAACACATCACAACCTACCCTGCAGGAGAAGAAACTGAACATGTTTTCTGATTTGAGATTGATATGAGAAGATAATTATGGAGGCATTGGGTGATGGGTGATGTAGTTCAATGTTTTTTTCAATGTAGTTCCGTGATTTTGTGACGACTCGGTTGCTGACAGGGAAGCGATTGGAGTGATTAGTCGGCTGAGCACTTAGCCGACTTGGCCGACTGGTCGCCCCATTTGCCGAACATACTGTTTACTCATGTACCAGGTATTACATACACATATTTACTCATACACGAGTCATACCTGGTACAGTTCCTGGTACAGTTCCTGGTACACAGAAAGAGTCTCGAGTCATGAGTTAAGCTTCACATTCTGCGTATGCCCAAGAGCTGTTCGCAAGAAAGAGATCAAAGTTCTGTAGTCGAGTTTGACAAACCAAATCTTCACTAGCGTTTTATAGTGATTATAGTGTTTTGTTTCTTTGTTTCCAATGTCGTTGAACCATGCATAACCATGCTGAAGCGATGTGGATAACATTTTGGTCACGCTGAGGCTGCCAGTGGCTATGGCTGTTCTCAACGGTGCCACTGTAGTGCGGAACTTCAGCGGCTTCGGAGATGCAGAGATTCAAAGAGAGTCAGACGGTGGAGCTGAACCACCGAGATGAAACCGAAGAAAAGAAGAAAAGAAAAGAAGAAGATCACCGAGATGCAGTGCTTTGAACACTTTTGGTCACTTTTTTCACTTTGCTAATTGAAGAACATGAAAGCAGTGGTTTTTTTCCGGTTCGATTCGGGTTCGAGCACATTCTCTGCCACCGTTTTCCTCTTAGGTCTTTACTCTCTTCGGTTGCCTTTTCACTGTCATTTGTGGCTCGGACCGGCCAAAGCCGACATTGCGCCGGGGGAAGGAATAAGAAAAACCCATGGGGATTTTATTCCCGTTTTGCTATGAGAGCTCAACAAAAGAACTCTACGTTGATCCGGGTTGATCCGGGTTGATCTGCAAGTTTCTTCCCCGAGGTTGTGCCGCGTTTACTTTCTTCCTCACAACATCAGAGACCTTTTCGGCGCCAGATTCGATGTGGCCCAGTCGTGGTTGTGGCAGTTTGGGCACTTGGCCGTCATGAACCACCAAGAATTCTGGAAAGTCGCTAGCCATGCCACTTGACATATAGTCTTGACATATAGTTTATAGATGTCTATAGAATCCTATAGATGTCTATAGTACTTAAGACGTACTACTTAAGAATCTTACGACCAATACGTTTTGAATTCACCTGAAATGACCAATACCCACGGCACTGCGCTGGCCAGGTTTTTCGTCGATGCGCCAGTAGCTGTTGCGATTTCGGGGGGCATCATCGGCGGTCTCGTTTCGTTGCCACCCAGCCGCACCAGAAACAAATCAGAGACATGTCATGGAGACAAACATCGAAAGATCAAGATTGTTGAGGCATGAGAGTATTGGAAGAGGGGGTGAAGACACTATAAGACACTTTCTGTTTGGGACTTGTGTTTCCAAGGTAGTTGCCTTCACCAATGTACCTTTTCAAGTTTGTGTCAACTTGTCAAACTGAGGTGTTTTATGACCATCTTGGACATGTCGACAGATGCCCTCCTGTACTACTACGGTTTGGGGCTGAGATGGTCTGAGGTTTGCTCGGTTTGCTCGGTTTGCATTGGTTCCCAGATCGTTGAAGATCTGTGAAAAAATCGAGGTTTGGATTGGAACGACAACAAACGCGGCCACGACAGCAATGCCCCCAACAGCATCAAGGTGCATTGGGTGGGAAACCTGAAAAGAATCAGAGGCAGAATCTTGAAATAGAAAGAGTTTTGATAAGTTTTGATTAGAGTTCCAAAGATTCCACTCTGTGCTCAGTTGTTTGAGGGTGTGAGACGTAGATTCTGTGAGAGTTTCATCCTTCCATCAAAAGTTGAGATTGCAACAACTGGCGTTGAAACCGCACTGTGCTTTCAGGAGCTGGTTCATGGTGATCGAAGGTAGAACAAAGCAGCAGAAGGTCAAACTTCAGTACCAAAGTTGCATATAGCAACCTATATGGTTAGTATATAGTTGGGTAAAGCATCGTAAAGCGTATTCAAGACTTTCAGGACCCGAAACAAAGATACGATGTCCTGTTAGGGCAAGGCACAGTGATACGAGATAGGGACAAGAGAGAGAATCGAATTTGAGATGTGGTTGAAATTGGAAGACACGAGAGAAGGACGTATAAAGATGTATTAAGGACGTGTCTCAAGGACGTATTAAGGACATTTAAGGACGTATTGTTTTTGTGTCTATTTACAGTGTCTCAGAAAACCGCCAAAACGTGCCCTGGGCATCTCAAGGGCATCGTAGCGGCATCGTAGCATATGGCATGTGGCGTTTCTAGACGCCCAGGCCTCATGGGTCAGGGTATGGTTCGGTATGGTATGGTCTCTTGGAGGACCGGCATCCCGGACATGTTTCATGGTTTTCGTTGTGACTCAAAATCAACAAAATCAAAATCATGTTACAAATCATTTCACTAAGATTGTTGAAGTTGCTTTGTTGAAGTTAATTATGTGTTATTCCTTTTTGTGTTTTCGTTTCGAAATTTTCGAAACTCTGGGATTCTTTTGATTTGCCAGCCGGATGCGGGAAACGCATTCCTCGCGGAGCTAATGTCGGGTGGAGCAAAGACTCCGGTGAATCAAAAAGGACGCAGATACTGCGAATTGCAACGCAATCAAAAAGGTATCAAACAACACCTTCAGAATCCTTGAGATACCTTACGAATATCAATATATCACTATATTTACTATACATATATATATATATGTGACATATGTGTTTTAAGATGTTTTAAGTTTTAACATGATTTAACTTGGGGCTTTTGTTTCATCCACTCCATTGTGCGTTTCATCTCGGATCTATCTTCTGTGATTGCCTTGGCACCGACAGTTGAGGGCTCAAGACACAGCTTGAATGCAGCTGAGTATCTGTGAGTTATAGAGACCAATCGACAACGTCTTACTGCGTTCACAGAGGCATTGGCTGCGTGAAGGCGTTGCCTCCTTCAATTGTCGATGAATTCACCCATCTGCAAACAGTGATGACATCATGATGCGAAAACCAGCTGATGACATGTCTGACATGTTCCCCAATTCATCCTCCTCGCAGACGCAGAAGACGCAGAACACGCAGAAAATGAATTAAAAAAGTGTTTGGAAGTGTTCCAAAAATTTTGGGAAGCTTCACATGGCTTGATGGCTTGACCGCGGCACCGCCATGGCAAATGGCAGGAGTCGAGTCCCAAATTGATAACCCGAGTCGGCTTCATTCGGACTTCATTCACTTTGGCACTTTGGCACTTTGGCACTTTCACATCTTTCACATCTTTCACATCTTTCACTTCCCCGACCACTTCGCATCACTTTGATATAGCCAACGCATGTGTTTGATGTAACCAAATGTGTATATCAGCGTATATCAACAATTGTTTGACGTGTTTGATACTTTTTGCTTTTGTCTTCACTGGCAGAATTGTAGCATGGCAACAGTTTTTTAGATCTTTTTAAAGTGCAGTCGGCAAAGAGTGAGAAGACGTGGAAGCGCCAAACGCAGAGGAGCAAGTTGTCCGATCGCAATTTGCTGCAAGCTGCTTGTCATGAGTTCCAGAAGGTGGCTGTGCCTAGTTCACGTTGGTTTACATTCCGTTTACATTCCTTCTTGAATTATCGTATTCATATTATATGGAATACATTGGAGAATCATATGAATATAATTTATATTCATATGATTCTCCAATGCATTCCATATATTTCCACATTATGTTTTTTCCAGTGTTCTCCCAGTGTTTTCAGTTGACAAGATGGATATTGGGAGTACTGGGAGAACACTGGAAAAAATGAGCTGTGACGAGCGGCGCTAGGTGGACACCTACCACCGTGGCCTGATCACCTCGGCCAACTTCGCCAAGGCGTCGAGAGAAGATGTGAGGTTACTAAGACGTAAGGATTCAGACGTAAGACATGTAAGTTTTACCAGGGCAGTTGGGTCTCGCTAGACCCATTTTCGCCACACATTTTTTATGGTCTTGAGATGTCCTTAGATGTCTTGAGGCTCTTGGAACTCTGGGCTTGAAATATGGACAGCCGGAGGCTGGTGGCTGGTGCTAACATTGTTGAGGATTGGTGCCGACAAATTGTCGACAAAGTCGGCCAGTCAGCAATTGAGCACAGCAGATTTCAAGGTCAAGTTGTGCACTCCTTTCACTCGGACCAGGTGGATGAGATTCTGCAGTATTGCACTGTCACAGATGATGGATATGTCCACTACAAGGATGTTGGCCACAGAGAATGATGCACTGTTCAGGGGTTCTGCAGGTTATAGATGGTTATAGTGATAGATAGTGATAGTGCACACTGGCACAGCGGTTCAAAAATGTAGTGTTTCCACTTCATCGACATCATGAGATCTCTGTGGAACATGGTGCCGCTCCTTGGGAGGAGCTGCACAACGTGCTGTCGCCAGATCAGCCCCGAGCAAAGCAGAGTTGCTTGGCACCACATTGGCACCACACTGGCACAACCAAATGAAATTGAAGATGATTAGATCAATAGATGATTCATGATGATTCCACATCGGATAAGCATCGGTCAACCATGTTCAAGCAAATTTTGCCATCGATTGTCATCTCGGCAAGGCAGCATGAAGACCACCATTTATCCAAGTGAGGCAGTGCCCGCAGCTCTAAATCATCAAATTTCAGAGTGATCTGTCTCTTTCAGATTGATACCTTTTGTTCTCTCTCTTTTTTCATGATTTAGCTGTAGCTGGTTTTTCCTTGTTCTTGCTTTTTGGGCTCTTAAGACATTGCATTCGGAGGCTTCAGAAATGATGGCTTCGAGTGGCGAACGCAATGGGTGCGCCAAGTGCAGTGCAGTACGCAGTGCCAGTTGCAAAATATATCAACATCGAACACTGACAAAGAAAGAGCAGTCTGGAAAATGAGACTCGATTTGATAGATGCAATCTGGACAGAATGCATTGGACAAATGGTTGATCATGTCTGGGGTCGTCTTTGCATGCTTTTTGATTGCAAGTCATGAACTTGTCTTGTGAACAGGTTTTATGTAGCCAAGACGGAAGACATTCGCAAGGCCGACCCTATCACCAATCTTTGAATAGCTGGAGAGGTTGTGGATCCAACACCTCCATATCCTCTTTTCCAGGTTTTGTGCAAGTCATGAGGTTTCGGACAGATGAGTAGTGTGATTATGTGTGATTATGAATCGATATGAATCGATATGATTCAAATGATGTGTCCTCTGTGAAACTGTTGATTCCAACATGCAAATTGCGCTACATCGATGAGTCGTCGATGGGCGAGGTCTTTGCACTGTGGGAGAGGGGGCGAATCTCCAGTGAACAGTTCAAGGAAGCATTGCAAAGTCAGAGGCTCAGCTTGGAGGTCTTGAAGGTCTTGAAATCGGGAGCTTGGAAGTTTGAGAACCTGCAGCAACAAGGATTTTTGAGATCTTCTGACTCCATTCTGATATTGAAATTCTTGAAATGTTCAATCTGCAGCCATTTGTTCAGTGTTCACATTGTGTTCTTCTATCATTATAATAGATACTAATAGATTCTAGATTTATATATATTTATATTATTTATATATATATATATCATGTGTATCATCTATATCATTTATATTACAATTTATATCATGTGTATCAACTGTATATCCCTCACATTTCCTCAATGAACTCCTTGGCCCTGGGCACTGCGTCACTGCGGCGCTCAACGTTGCAGGGTGTGGTGCACCGATGACCGCGGAGCTGGACCGGCTTCTCCTTATGCACCGACGAAAAAAAACGACATCTGAAGACATCGGGCGACCGGTTTATGGATGTTTATGGCATAAATGGGGAATTCTAATATTTCTAATCTCATACTATGATGATATTTATGATATTTATGATCCATACATTCTCACCATTCTCATACTATGCTCCGTGATGTCCATGATATCCATGTTTTCTATGTCTTCTGTGTCTACGTCTACCAAGATCTAGCAGGAATTGCAGCGTTTCGATCTGCCACAATCTGCCGTCAGTTGACATGTGACATCCCATGGCTCATGGCTCCAGGTATGGTCCTGCGAGATCGATGCCCTTCAGCCACGCGTCACAGTTCAGATACCTTCAGACCTTCAGAGAGACTTTGGACATCCGATCTCGGAGGAATGACGATAGCGGACGATATCAGATATATCAGATGTCATGTATTGAACAGATGTTCAGATGTCAAAATCGTCAAATTCTTGGCAAAGACAAAGATATAGCTGATATAGCTGATATACACAGATGTTCTCTTTGGAAAATTCAGACGGATGAGAAGGGTTCGCTGGTTCTTTGGCAGAATCACACCAAGCTCACAAGGCAAGCTGATGTATGCCTTGCAGATCGACGCTAACGATGGAAGAAGAGCTCGAAATGCGTCGCTTTGAAATCAAAGCATATCGAGACAGGTCAAAACAGATCAATCATGCATGTTTTTGCCAATCTAAGATGTTACTATTCTATATTGTGATCTTATGTACAATCTATGTGTTTTTAATCATGTTCAATCCATCAACGCAGCAATGCAAGCAATCTCGAATCTTTGAAAATGACTGTTGCAAGGAGATCTTTGGATTGTGAGAGCCGGTTCAAGCCGGTTCAAGCGTGCCCTCGAAATTTGGAGTTTGAGTTTGCAAGTTCATCCCGGTTCAGCATGCTCATCCCAGGCACGGTGTTGCAGCCACGCCTTTCGATCAAGTTTCTCAGCTCAAGGATGCCTGTCGATGCCGTGAGGTTTTTTCAACCTGAAACATGGTGCTGAGAGACGCTGAGAGAGTGGAGTGTTTATAGATGTTTATAGTGCTTGGAGAGTGTTTGAGATGTTTGGATATGTTTGGTACCGTTCAACTTGATCACGTTTGCAGTTCCTTCAGGGTACTGCAAAGTGCAGAGGTCAAGGTGGTGTAGTGTCATGGTGCCCTCATCATCGTTGGTCATCGTTGGTCATCGTCACCAAGACTTGGAGTATGATAACGACGATGTGTCACGATGTGTGACGATGTGTGATGTGTCTCTATTTCGGGTCTCAAACGCTGTCACTGTGTCGAGGTTTCAGATGCATCACGTTGTTTTGTTTTCAGATTGGCATTTGCGAATAATCATTACTAATCATCCTGGTTGGATTGAACCTCAGGCTGACAGGCTGCATTTTCACTTTCACATTATTTCACATTATTTCAGCACTTCCAGTCGTCGTTTGCCTCGAAAAAAATGGGCCAAACTTCGAAGGCAACTTGTGACATTTTGTGACATCTTGTGACTTTGAGGGTTTGCTGAGGCTCCTATGCCAGGCACCGGCCGTCGGGTGAACTCCCGAACCTAAAGCTGCGAAAGTGCAAAGAGTCAGGGGAATGGAATTCAATGGAATTCATGTTTAAAGATGTTTAAAGGACATAATTTCATACTTAGTATTTTCTTCGGAGGAATCAGACACAAAGGATTGACAAGTTCTTAGGATTGATTGAAGGCTAGTAAAGGAAGAATCATGAAGAATCTCCGTATTGATATAGGGTTGGATTTCATTGTTTCTGTTTGGATTCAAGATAGAATTCAAGATTCCAGAGTATCGCGAAGGCTTGACTTGAGGTTTCATTTCCAATAATGGCTGGAGGCCTTTTGAGACTCAACTGCAAACCTACTTCATATAAAAGTTGCAAAAGGGTCCAATTCATGGCAGGAAGATCCCCACCAACATGGTTCAACTCTGTGTGTTCAACCTCGTTGGAATCGGAAGGGGCTGGTGCTGCCACAGTCCAGCTTCAGTCAGAGCAACAGTTTGCTGCTCAAAGAAAGCTTTGAGGCTGGCAATATGGTAGAAACATATGAAACATGCAGAAAATTACAACATCTTACAACATATTTGCCAGAGGCTTCCTGTTTAGATTGTTTAGACAACACTTTTGACATATTTGAATCATATTTGCCACCTTTTCTCATGTTTTTGTCGGATTTGTCAGATGTTTTTGGCCAGCCATGGCCTGGTGAGGCGTTTCCATCAAAGCACATCCTCCAGGCTAGTGACTCAGTGACTGGCAATGTCTAATGCTTAAACCAAATCAATCCAAATCCTGAAGGGAGAAGATGGAGAAGGAGAAGAGGAGCGACCTGTCAGCTCCTCAGAGATACTTTTTGGGGACATCAACATGGGAAACAGAGAGAGAGAGAGAGAAAAGAAAAAAGAGAAACGGTTTGCAAAATGTTTCAAACCATATAGATCCATGGTCTCTTTTTTTGGCTCAGCATTGCATAGCATTGCAGTTCCGTTGCAATTTGACACCTTTTCATACCCTGGTCCTGATCGTCCCTGATCAACCCTGATGCCTGGCAGACGGGTCGTGACACTAAGGGCAAATCCTTCTTCACTTCGACAGGACCGGCTGTCAGCTTCGTCTGAAACAACAAGAAACAACAACCCTTAGCTTCCTCTAGTTAGACTGACACTCCTAGTTGTCCTTCTTGTCCGGTGTTTGGTACAACGGCTTGATTTTGTTGTGCATTTATCGTCAGGAAAAGGCCTCTGGAAGTTTCGTGGTGTTTACTAGTGTTTATTGTGAGAGCAGAAACAGGAAAAGAACTGAACAAAAGGAACGTAAAGGAATATACATTAATATATACATTAATATACATTAATATACATTAATGCACATTCTCTCATGGTTCTCAGCCACAAGCTTGTTTGAACATGCGTCGAAGATTGTCTTCGGTTGCTTTCTGTTGCCACTTGAACGCTGGGCGAATCTCCACAGGTCATTTGCGACTTTGTGGATGGCCACATCCCTGCAGCAGCTGGGCTGAGCCTATGAAAAACCCTCAAAGTCAAAACAGGAAAAAGACAGGAAAAACATGGAAAAACCCAGTGGTTTTTTTGGTCAACGGATCCAATTCTCGAGAATTCTCGAGTCGAACTAAGCAATGACGAACAAATGACGAAGTGACGACGTGAACCGTGAACCGTGAACGGCACGGTTCGGCACGGATGGCCTAAGCCGAGAACGGCGCCCAGGTGACCTTCCGGATGCAGCTCCAGCGCCAGAGCCTCAGCCGCTAATGCTCTTGAAATCGAAATCGAAAAACAAAGAGATGTTAGAATACTTAGGATTAAATCTTTGTTTTTCGATACTTAGAATCTAAAGATTTTAAATAAGTAATTAGTATTAAATGTTAGCATTTAAGATTTAAAATCTTAGATTCTTTTTGTTTTTAATATCTAACATTAAATCTTTTTTTTAAATACTTAGGATTCATTTTTAAATCTTTGTGTTTCAAGAAATCTTAGAATACTTAGGATACAAAAAGATTGAAATACAAAACGACCATCTCTTGATTCTAAGATGTTTATATATATATATGTTTATGATTGTTTTTTGTAAAGTTTTGATCATCTCTTGGAGCTCGTTTTCCGATCTCCAAGCTCGACAGGTTTTGGAGTCGCCTTGACACAAGACTTGGAGAAAATGATCCGAACGCACGAGTGACTCAGCAGCACTTAGCTAAGACTTAGCTTTGTCGAAGATCATCATGTTGAGTGACACTCTGTGTTTCACTCATCTTGTGTCAATCTTGTGTCACTTCTGTTGATGCCTGGCGAGTCTAGTGATGTTTTTGAGCAAAAAGCTGCTTCGAATGTTCCGGAGATCGGGTGAAACAGTGAAGCTTGCCCCCTGACCGTCAAGAACTGTGCAAACCGGGCGAAGTGAGTCACTATGTGAAACAAATATAAACAAATGGGGTGGGTCCAATGTCCAAAAATGGCTCCAAGAATGGTGTCCCATATGGTCCCATATGGTCCCATGTTCAGTTCCATATAAGATGTGAGCGAATGTGATGTTCCTCAGGGGCGACAGCTCAGTGCGATTTCAAGACTTTGCACGTGTACTTCTCCGTCAGGACTCAGAACAACAATGTCAATGACTATTGGGAACTAGTGTGTAACTGGTTAGTAGAGCTATTGAGCAATACCAAACTACAACTCAGAACATCAGTTCCCAATAGTTCCCATATGAGTGTGAATGCTAAGAGTTTGGCGGCAAACATTCTAAGATTTACGGATATTTACCAAATAACTGTGTGTTCCAATGCGGTCCATCACATGTGGCATCATACGGCACCTGCGGTGCCAATGTCAGATCCAGACTGCAAATCTAAAGCTCATACCATCAAGGCATATCAAGGCCTACACCACTTCAAATGTCTTTGGAAAATCTGTGTCCTTGTCATTCCTTGTCATGGGAAAGCTGTGCCTAGCTGTTCGTGATAGACACTTTGTGACAGAGAATCAGATGAATCAGTACCTTTCCCAGCGAGTTGAGTGCTGTTGATTCTTTCCATTCACGAAAATTTTGAGGACAAGACATCGGGTGCGTTGGGTGCCCAGTGGCCCAGTGGCACAGCCGGCAGAACCTGATAACCAGTGAGAACTCATTTGGTCACAGGACGGAGAGGCCAACAGAAGCTGAAGCAAATCGAAGCAACAAGTCTTTAAAAAATGACTGAAACCCCTTGATTTTGACAAAGTGTGAGTACAGTTCGGAACAGAAAGGTTTTCTCTTCACAGTTTCCATTTCTTCGTGTTCTTCTTGTCATATGTTTTCATCTTTGTTTGCTAATTCCTTGAAATTCCTTGGACTTGGTGACTGACGCGACCGTTGACCTCACCATTTGTTCGTGACCGTGACTTCATGTGACTGGTTAAACCTGAAGTCACTTCTCTTAGTGTTTCTCCTAGTGTTTCTTCATAATTCTTCATATTCTCTTCATGTCTCTTCGTTTCATCATTTTGAAGAGGTCCGGCTCCGTGACGCCCAGCGGCTATCGGAGTTCCGTGGCTTTGAAATGCGACAAGAACACACAAAAACCAGAAACGACGAAACGACGTGAAACGACACCGGGAGAAACTGAATCATTAATGATGTGACAGATATGACATGTGCAATGACTCAGAGATGTGTCCATCATTTTTTGGTCAACTATGTTATCTCTATGCAATTTGTTGCAATCCACTGCAAGAAATGTTTGGTCTGTCTCTTTGTCTCATCTTTCGGCACTGTGTTCGGTGACGAGAGGGATGCAGTCTGACTAAGATGGTACTTCAGTTCAAAGAAGATCAGTGAAAGCATGTGAAAGCACTCTGGGACCCGAACACCGAGTGCGGCGATATTCCTACTGCCATCTACTGCCCATTTTCCCAATCGTGACACCCTCCAGCATGGTTCGCAATGTTCACAAGATCTAAGCTGCCATGGTGCACATGGCTCTCTTTAAGCATAATGGCCGCCTGTACAAGCTCACTTTTGTGTTTCCACCTGCTGCCGAACATCTTTCCACAAGGGTTCTATTCTAAACCACTTGAAGTTTTCAAAAAACAAAAGTCTTGTCACATGCGCTTGACCGCATTAAGGTGCAACACCCCGGAGCGATGCGATGTTTGCTAGAAGTAAGGGGCTCAGTCCGGAGAAGCAAGATGCAAGACGCAGCGCGATTCTTAAAACTCGGGCATTTTTTTTGACTAAACTGAAGTGTAATATGTCTAAGTTCTATATGTGAAAAATTGATTTCTATTGCGTGGTTCGTATTGTTTCGTTGTCGCCCTTGGAAGCGGAGTAGGCGGCGGCAGTTCAGTGCGGAGTTCTTTGCCATTTGGTCAATGGGATGACCTCCCTGAGTCTTCAGCCCAGAATCCGAAGATCCAAAGTCCCTCTGTCGGTTTTAAGTCTGACTTTGCGGAAACACTGACCACTCAAGTACTCAAGTCACCAAGCTTAAAAGATGTCTTTTCTGTGACTGAATTGCCAGAGAGAACACGAGCTTCTTTCAATTTTTTTCATGGTTTGGTTTATTTTCTGGGTTAAAAAGGGGCTGCACATGCGATGAGAGCGAGGCCCCAGCCATCGCAACGGCCTTCCATCGTGCCGGCTTGAACCTCAATCTCTCAACTGATGCTGCAATCGAGCTGCGAATATTTGGATATATTTGAATATATCGGAAAGCCTATACCGGAGATATTGAGATATTAAGGTTGTATTTGGAGCTTGCTACAAGGTTGTTTTCATTCCCAAGGTTGCGCCTCCCTATGCTACACAGGAGGCCTGTGGCTTGCGTAATGCGTTGCTGAGACACAACACAAATCTGGGTTTGGAAGCATTGGTATGCTTGGTATACGACTCCACGAGACCTGTAGCAGCTGGAAGCAAACCAGCTTCCAGAGAGTGGAACTAATGATGTGTGATATGCTATGATAATCATTGATAATCTACGATAGGTTATGTTGCCATGGGCAACAGGCAGATGAAGAGAAGTAAAACACCGGATGAAATACCACCACACATATGACAGTATCAGATAGACCTGGCAATGACAATGAAAAATACATAGAAATACTACGAATTCATATAAATTCATGTATTCATGTAAATTCAATGTATTCGTCAATGACGTGACGTCCGTCGGTCCGTGCCCAGGCCGAGTCGGAGCTGCGGCGACCACCCGTTGCGTCGGCGTCGCGAGCACAAGGCCCTCGGATCGGATCGGCGCAAGGATCGTCTCCCGATTTTTTCTCGACATTTTCCATCCTTTTCTCCCCGTTTTCTCCCCGTTTTCCTGTGCTCTTCGTGTCTTCTGAGGGAAAGGTTGGAAAAGCAGAATTGGATTTGGTAATTGAGGTGGTGGCTAGAAATTCTGTGCTCTTGTTTTCCCATTTGATTCCTTCATGGTGTTTTATTTTTGTTTCCGATCGAGCATTCAAAAGCTGCCTGTTCAAGTCGTACAGTCTTGCTTGAAAGTGAAGGGGGAGGTCCGCAGTTCAAGCTGCTCGTTTGATTTTGATCATGTTGGTATATTCTGGTTTATGTTGGTCACGTTGCCTTCCGTTTGATTTTTTGATGGTAACTCATGTGCCAGTGTCTCAAGATTGTCTCAAGCGTCTCCAGGCCACCACGGAGATATCCTGGGCTGGAACCAAGCACCTCTGCGGGAGGAGTTTTTTTGAGACTCAACGTTGAGTCAACATTGAGTCAACATTGAATCAACATTGAGTCGCCATAGGAGCAGAAGGGCCCCACAGGACGCCGACACGTCACTGCGAGTTCAGGTCGCGTGTCGGGGCGTGCCCCAGCACAAGTCGGGCATAGTCGGACGTGACAAATGTGACAAGTGTGACAAATGTGACAAGGAAACCTGTCAAAACCATTTGGACTTGTGCTCGTTTGGACTCATTTGATCAGAAAATCAGATTCGACCAGATGCCTTCCCATGACACAAGTTCTTCACAGCTTCAATGCTGCTTCATGCCTTTCTTTCCTCTTCAGCCATGAGAGGATTCAATTTGTTTTGATGGTTGCACTGGTTGCACTGGTTGCACTGGTTCCGTTCCAGGCCAAAGCTTCCTCCAGTGGCCAGCAGAATCTCAGGACCCGGACTCCGATATCACCTGCTCCGGAACCCAATGGTTTATATATGTTTATATGGTTGGTTTAATGCTATAAGATGGATTAAGATGGAGTATGGTTGGTATGTCAATGGTGAGATTCAAAGAACACTTTGACATGATTGGCCAGTGGCTTCCTCGTGTCCGGACCTTCTTGTGTGCCCAGCGTTCGCAGATTCTTCAAGACGGTTTCTTTGAAAAAATGGCTTGAATATGCTTGAATAGTTTTAATGTGTTTTATTTACTCTATAGTTTTTTTTTCACCATATCTCGCAAACTACTAGTAGCAGACTTTTTACCTTTTGCTTACTCTGTCGCAAGTGGCCATCTTTGCACATGTCGGCAACAAAGGGTGGAAAGTATGGCTCTTTTCTGGCGCCCGCTGACTTGCCAACCCCACAGACACACGTCTTCTGCTGGCTTGAGCTTTTCAGCAATCCCCGAGCTGGTTGTACTATATAGTCAACATGAAGATTGGGAAGGAGCATATACAAGGCATCCTCCTAGGTCCTATAAAATCTATAAAATCAGTTTGTTCTGTACACTCTGTACACACCAAAACACAGAACATGACAGAACATGACAGTCTAGGGATGCCATTTTTGTGAGGACGAGGAACAGCGTCCTGGGAGGCCTTCTCTTGCCTTGTGTCCTGTGTACAGTATCCTAATGCTGATAGATTCATAAATGCTCATGGTTTCCACAGTAGTTTGGATATGTTTGGATTGCCTGAAGCAATTCTCAGACTAAGATTACTAGTCGGTGAGATATTCTTACCTTCCATTGGGTCATCAATGTTGATATCACATCAATGTTGATATCAATGTCGCATCGCTGTTGGTATCGGGTTTCAGGCGTCTCTATGGGCAAGCTGCTTCAGCATCCGAATCTGCGCCCTATGGCAGATCCAGCGACGTGAGTCCGGGCCTGACCCGGGATCTGATGAAAGAATCTTGATAAAGATCTAAACATATCTAAACAAAGTTTGTCAGACTGAGATTCTTTATGAAATTCATCAGAAAAAGAAAATGATCCACAATGATCCATGAATCATCATGAATCCAATGAACGTTTCATGATAAAGGCTCAAAAGGATCACCTGAGCTGTGACAAGAATTCGGAGATCGGACATATTCGGAGTAGGCTTCCACGATCCACGTTGTCTTGGGACAGCAACAGCACCGACGTGCGAGGTCAACATGTTTGTGATCCTCGAATGCCGGCGGCCCCGTTTGGCTTGGGCCTTGGCCAAAGTGTTTGGGTCGCACAGAACCGCAGAGGTCCTTGGGGTTAATACGTAGACTATGGGTTCCTGGTTTCCTCATGGTTCCGCCATGTTTCCACTGTGGTCTTTCAATGTCTTTCACCTGATCCGCAGCTATTCCCTTGTGACTCATGGCAGGCACAGATCAAGACCTTCGCCTAAGACGTCCAGAGGATGCAGGCGCACCATCTCGAGTCAAGTCAAGTAGTCGCGTCGCAGAATCACAGAACCCTTCACAAAAACCTGTCTGGCAAAGTCTAGACAGACTATCTAAGAATGACACAAAGTTCCTATATTGCGCGTTGACATTGTTTTTCTTCGTCTTATCTATGAGTATGACGACGAATGTTTCCTATTTGCGTTTCCAATGTGCTGTATGGGCTATACAATACAGCCATGAAAGTCTTCGCGCGTTTGGCGCATTGAAGTTGCTTTGTTACATCGTGCAATGTTACACGGTTTTGCATCTCTTCATGTCCTCTTGAGTGTCATATGATATCACAAAATGTCACAAGATGTCACTCGACGATGTCACAAGACGTCAAAAGATGTCACACAAACAAAACACACTCAGACGTCTTTGACATTTTTTACATTGTTTTTTTGAGTGTTTGGCTGTTTGGCATTGGAATTTTAACATCTGGTTTTCTGATGTTTTTGCACTTCGTACCTTAATTTTGGCAAGTTGAAAAGAACTGCAAGTAACATGTAACAAACTTTGTAAAAATTCTGCTAAAGTATCAGAAAACCAGAACTTTACCAAAAATCAGAAACTTTTAACAATTTTAACATGTAGCAAGTTTTTTTGGTAAAAGTTTGAAAAAAAAATCAGAAAGTTCTGCCTTGACGAATCGCTCTTGTCGCAAGGTACGGACGAGTACCGAGCAGCTCTTGGAGGCAGCGGCTGGTCACGTATTGGTCACGGCTTAGGATACGATACGTGACGACACGTGCGGTGACGTGTGGCTTTAGGTTTACACAAGTTGAGATAAGTTGAGTTTTTTTGTTCTTGGAATTTCGTGTATCTCAATTCATATTCTATATATTTCTATATGATTTAATATTATACAGCAGTCGTTCCATACACATCATCACATACAATCCATTTAGATCCATTTAGATCCATTTAGATCCATTTAGTACGCAAGATAGACTAAGATAGACAATATGATAAAAAAACCTTACTCACTTGCGACAGCCGGCACCCGAAGGTGGGAAATGTGGGGCGGTTGCCATGTGGGGTTTGTGGAGGCACTGTTGAGGTCATGTTCGAAACAGGGCCGTGTGAAACACGGCCTTCACACCTGGCGACGGGTTCAACTCGTCATTCTCGTTGTTCTCGTCGTTCCTTTGGGGTGAGAACCTAGAGACCTTGTGCCGTGTCGAGCCGAGCCCAAGGTGGACGTTGGGGCGGGCAATGTATGGCAATGTTGGGGCTATTCGGAGCGACGGGGCTATGTTGGGACATAGTTGGGACATAGTTGGGACATAGTTGGGACATCTTGGCATGCTGAGCCATGTGGGGGCCAGGTCGGGCCATGTGTGTGTGGACGCTATATTGGAGCATGTTGGGGCCAAGTTGGGGTCATGTTGGGCCATGTGGAAGCTGTGTTGGGGCTATTTGGGGTCAAAGGTGAGCCAAGCTGGAGTTTTCTGAGACCATGTTGCATAATTGCGTTACTGCACAGGAAAAAAAACATTTGCTGTGCTACTATTTGCTGCATTGATTACAGTGGAGTAGGGATGGAAAAGAAGACTTTGACAATTGAAAACTGAGTAAAACTGGAGGTTTCAGAAGATAATGACAAGAACCGAGTTGGAATAAAACGATGGTACAGTTGTTTATGATGGTTTTGTATTACATTGTCAGTTGAAGCTGGTTGCAAAGATCGGCATGTTCTGAATCAAAACGTGCTGTTCATCGCATTCCAGTGGGTTTCAGAGGCCTCATGGGCCTGGTGTTTTGGATAGTTGGACTCGTGACACGTTTGGCAGGCCTTCGGAGGTGACGGCATGAGAGGATCCAACTGAGGATCAAAGTGAGAAGAACAATGAAGAACTGTGATAATCGTAATACAATTATCTTCAATTATGTTCAATTTCAGTTGACAACTGGACAGATTCAGGGGTGCAGGATCAGAAGTGACACGGCGTGTGCTCTTTGCACAGGTCATGCATTAAACATAGATGCATAGTGCAAATGGGAGATATTTCTGATTGAATCCGTCAAGTGATGCCGATGCCGAAAATTTGATCCTCAAAAAATTCACAAGTTTCGAGCTATGCTTGAAAGCTTGATGCGTTAATTAATCGCAGACTCCTGGCCCACCTGGCTAATGCCAGGGGCGCTGGACCGGGGCAGAAACCGCCAAAAGACACACTGACACACCACGTGACGCACCACATGACGCCTCGTCGCGTCTTGCCAACGTCTCACCTCACCTAGGCATAGGTGATGCAAGGTGTGGCAAGGTGTGTGCCCTGGTGAGGTGTCCTATGTTCTTCGCCTCATGGTTCTCTACGGCATCCACATGACTAGGATGAAACGAAAAATGTACAGATGTTGCCCGATTCAGAACCCAACCCCGTGAGGTTCTTAAGAGAAAGGGTTGAAACTGCATTTTTTTTCCACCTGCAGTCTCCTTGGTCAGATCATGTCAAGCGCAAGACCATCACGAAGCGAAATTTTTGATGCACCACATTCCCACGGCATTTGGCCATGGAACCACATAGAACAGCATACTGCCTGAGCAGAGCATCCGTTACATCTAAGGTGCACCAATGAGTTTTAATGAATGTTCTTCGCAGATTGGACCTCGACTTCATTCTGCTGACTGAAGATACAGAGGACTTGATTCCGCTTCATTGATCTGGAAAGATCTGGCAAGTTTCAAACAACTTCCAGAGAAATTTCCAGAACTTCTCAGTGTGCTGTCGCCTGCGGTGCCTGCGGTGCCTGCGGTGTCGCCATGGGGAAGAAAGCCTCTGTGGGGAAGCGGCCTCGTGGGGCGAAGACTGGTGCAGCCAATCGCGGCAACCGAGCCGGACAAGGAGCTCTGAGACCAGGTTCCGACACGTCAAGTGACATGTGAGATTGCGTGAGATTGTCGGATTTATATATTGTTATATTCAATTTTATTCAGATAGTCTTGCGTAGATTACTATGTGCAAATATTTGCACTATTTGATTGTACGTATGTCTATATTATATGTTTGTATAGTCTGCATCTACCGTATACAATGTATATACATTAATGTAGATGAAATCACGTGATTGTAACCTTCGGCAGTCTACACAGTCTACACATGTCTACACAGTGAAATGTTCTTCCACAGGTTCTGCTTTGAAGCACTCCAATGCTTCCTCCAAGCCTGGTCGAACCACACCCAAGGGTGACACCCGGGTGACCAAAGCGGGCTCCCACATGCGGTCGGAAAGTTGCTCGGATGGTTTTGTAGACGACAAGGCAATAAAGGGAAGACACATCAGAAAATCATAGAAAATCCAGAAAGTCTACAATTCATGATGATATTATATGATATTAATATATATTAATATATTCATGAAAGAAATTAGATTCAACTAATCACCTTTTGGAGTTCGGTGGGTTTAAACATGTTTAAACCTACATCCACATGTTTGTGCCACCAAGTCTCGCCTGCCTGTGTGCATCTGCCAAGGTACCATCAAAAGGCTTCAGATGTACAACAAGAAGCCAGATCGTCGAAGGATGAAAGAGCAGTCGCTGAAACCCGTTCGAATCCAGCCGGATCGAAGGTGGTTTGGAAACACGCGCGTCATCGCTCAAGAGAAGATGCAGCAATTCCGAGATCCTCGGAGGGCAAACTGTTGGCTCAAAAAGTGGAAAAGAAATGAAGAAATGAAGAGAAGTAGAATGAAGTAGAATGAAGATGAATGAAGGTTATGAGAACGGTTAGGAGAACCTTAGATCCACACTTCAGGTTCCGACATCAAGGGAGCTGAAGTTCGGAGCAGCTTAAGATTTATGAGCTGAACAGATTTTATGATTTTTTATCGTTTGTGGATCACTATGGACCACTCAAATTCAGCTAATGACAGCATATGACAGCTATGTTTTTCGCAAGGGCCCTGTCCTTTCTTCTTTCTCGTGAATTCATGTGAATTCTCTACTTGGATTCTGATGATTCAACATTCTTCCACCTTGCTCCGACCTAGGAGACGATTGCGAAAGGGGTCGAAGATCCTTTCTCGGTGGTGCTGAAAAGCTCCAAGTTGCCCATGTCGCTGTTGCGTCCAAAGCTGAGAAAGATCGTTGTTTCATGTTGTTTCCAGTGTCGAAGGAAAGAATTTACAATTGATTTACAATTGATTTACAATTAATTCACGAAAAAATACGACTTATTCGTTGGTCAAATTGAGTCTTAAAACTCAAAGCATTGACTTTGCCGCAGTGAAGTTTGGACAGGGAAGAAATTGGGCAAATTCTGCAGATTCTGCGCTCAGGTGACACAGAATCAAAAGCCTCGAGGATGGACCTTCTGTCCGTATCCCCATATAAGGAGGTGGGAGTCGTGTTGCAATATGTTGCAATCACATTCATGTTCATTTGGTTTTTCTAAGTTTGCTGATTAGGGTCTCAGTTGGCCCTGGCTTTGTTTTTTTTCCCTTAACCCTACTTGAATTTCAGGTCTTCAGCAAAAAGCGACAGCAGAAGAGGGCCAAGATCGGCGCAAACGATTTGGAAGGTCTTTTGGAGGCATGGGTTCAATGTGCCAACTGACAGAGATGTCGACAGTGGGGGCAGCTCTCCAGACCATGTCGGAAATGCCCACGCATGATCTAAGCTTGTGTTCTCACCATTTCTCACCTACACATAGTAATTATAGAAATTGTTCCCTCATGCGGTTCATGTATGCATAGTTATGCAGTACAGTATAATGCATCAATGCAAAGGTCAAACTACGAACTTCACAGGTCTGTATCCGAGATCTGAAATTCTGAGACTGTGCTGCAATACAGTGCGAAAGCGCAGGCTGCAGACAAGGCAGCAGAGGGCTATGTGGGAAGTCAAGACAAATCTGCCTTGGTCGATGCATCCACTGGCCTTGAACGTCCAATGGAGGATTCAGCAGGTGCCAGAGATGAAAGTGGTTTCAAAGTCATAAAGTACAAAGATTGTGAAAGTTTGACAAAAAGAAGGAAAGCTCATTGCCAGGTCCTAGCAAGGTCACAGGAGCAGACAAGAAACTGGAAATAATTTGAAATAACTCAACGGTTTTTGGAATGCCATTCTGACGTGGGCGTTGTTTCCTGTCCCAAGAAATGTTTGGCATCGCCCTCTTGGTGCATGTTGAATCTGGAGATATCTGGAGGTTTTTTGGAGGTTTTTTCCAAATTCTGTTGTGGAACTTGCTGGAACTTGCTGGAACAAACGCTGGAGGTCACGCTGGTGAGGAGATTTTCAACAAGGGCACCTCGCGACGAATCTGGGGAGAGCTCTACAAGGCGTGATCCTCGTGGTCCAAGGGACTAGCTGAGGCCCTTGACATCCACCAAAGCGCACCAAAGAATGAGCTGATCATAGAAGGTATTTATATGTATTTATAACAAGAGTATTTTATTGTTTTAGACATTTTTAGAAGGTATTCAAGTTGCCCACAATACCCTTGTTATACCGTTCTGGACACATGCCGTTCTGATTTCACCTGTTTTGAGTGCCCTCACACAAGCTGCGCAAACTCTTCAACCGATCTTCCCAAGATGAGCAACACTGAGCAACGCTCTGCAACTATAACTATGTGGTTCTGTTTCAGCGTCCAAATGCGAGTTGTGTGCAGTGCAGATTGTCTTAGAATTGTCCTGGCTGTGTGCAGTGCAGTCCAGGTCGTGGATGCTTCTGACGTCTTAGTATTTGTGCTGGATGCCAGAGATCCCATGGGCACCCGGTGCCTACAGCTGGAACGTGGCTCGTCAGGGATAGCATCAAGCCTCGAAAAATGAAACGACATGATGGCTAAATAATATATAGAATTATATATATATCCACACTAAATACAATATGACAGCAAAATGACAGCAACATGACAGCAAACACTGAGATTTTTCAGATGTGGGTAAAAGTCAGCTTGAAAGTTGATCAAGGCGTAAAGCTGGCAGGTTTTTTCACCCCTGGTCGTTTTTTGTGCCTTTTTCGTTCGAGGTGAGCTCCGGCGACGGCAGAAACACGTGGTCCTGTTGTTGAACAAGGTGGACCTGGTTCCGACCTGGGTCACCCGACGGTGGGTCCAAGAGCTTATGAAGGAGTTCCCCACGTTGGCGTTCCACGCATCCATCACCAATCCCTTTGGAAAGAACTCCTTGCTGAATCTGCTGCGCCAATTTGGCAACCTGCTGAAGGACACCGGGAACAACATTGTTTCCAACCTAGCAAGATGTCGCAACACATGTCGCAACAGGTTGCATCCTCCCTGTCTTTTCATCTCATGGCATTTCTTTTCAAGTGACGTCTTAATTTGATGTCATTTTGCCATTTTCCCTCTCCTTCTTGCAGTCCGACTACATGTATTGCAAATTCTTGAGGTCCTTGACCTCACTTTTTCTGTTTGGTTGCTATGTCGTTGGTTGTGTGCAAGGACAAGAAGCACGTGACCATTGGAATGGTCGGCTACCCCAATGTGGGCACCTTGGCAAATTTGGAACGGGAGAAACAAGATCCAGACGATCCACACTGTCTTGGGACAGCTTTGGTGCGCGGTTTCCATCAAGTCAAAGCTCAAATCTCACCACCAAATAGAAAAGCAAACGAGAACTCTGGTAGATCCAAAGTTGGCAAGGCATTTGAACACCGTTTTGGAATGTTTGGGGTTGGGGTCTTCCGCAAGGGTTTGGGAGGAGAGGTGGCGTTGGAAAGTAAACCCAAACCTTTCAATTTCCAGATTTGCTAAGCTAAACTGTCCCATGTTCAGTTTCAGTCCAGACATGACATGACATGACCACGGCCTGAAGACTACACCAAGTTCCTGTCTGTCTTGAGACAGTTTCCTTGAGAGTTCAATAAGCTATGATGACAGAAAGGATTGGGGATGTGATGATACATGGGCATGGTTCTGAAGATCCTTGCACATGAGTTTATGAATCATGTCATTGTCACGTCATAGTTATGTTGTCATGTTGCCGTTCTTAGGTAAGTCTTCAGTGATCAACACGTTGAAGAGGAAGACGGTCTGTAAAGCTGCCCCTGTGCCTGGAGAGACTCGGGTTTGGCAATACATCGCTCTCACGAGGACGCAGAGAGACGCAGAGAGACGCAGACTTTCACCAAAGCACCGAGCAACAAAAACATCACATGAGATATCATGATGAGATATCATGACATCAGGATAGCATACTACAGATTACAAGTAGAGTGGTGTATGGAACTTTATTGTATTCCTACATGAAATGAGAAAACGTGAAACTCTAAGTATCCTGCACCGAATGAGCTACATGTTGCGTGCATGTCAAGGTTGTTCTCGGAGTTGACAGGTTCTTTGAATCTATGCCCTTCTGGCTGTAGACTGTTGGATGCCAAAAAGGATCCCAATATCTCACAACATTCATTACCATAAGTTGTCGTCCGCGGATGCGGCTGAGACAGTCGTCACAGGAAGCTTTATTTGCTCGACTGTCCCGGGATTGTTCCGCCTTCGCCCAGTGACTTTGAAGCCGACTGCGCGAAGGCCTGGGACACAGACATTGTCGACGTGTCGATGTCCGGAAGGGTTGGGACACTGACAGCTCAGCAACTCAAAATTCAAACATCCCATGAGTAAACATAGTAAACAGGACAAACGAAGACTCAAAGCGGCAACGAGATCGAGGGATCATGAGGGATCAAAAGTCAGAGTTGAGTACACATGCCACATGGGACACAACATAGTCCCTTAGACTTTGGGCTGTTCGGCTTCTTTGGTTTCTGCACGGGTGTGATGCAGGCAATGAAGTTGCTTCCACGCGAGACTTTCACGTAAAAGAGTGGTTTCACAGAAACATGAATATTGTAGAAAATCGAGAGAGACCGAGTTGCATGGACCTGCGACTCATGCGGTGTTGTGCGGAGGTATTGAAAGGTGTTGTTCGCGCAGAACGCTTGAAGACGCCTTCAGACTACATCCATGAGGCGACACGGTGTTGAATGGACACAGCGTCAGGAGCATGGGCTATGTCCATGACAAAATGTGAGCAGAATGAGTTTGCAAAATTCTTGATTTCCGGGTACGGGTACTCTGATTTATGCATCTTACCATACTTATGGTGACATGTACAGCAGAAGTTCAGAAGCCAATGTTTGGATGTGGGAACGCCTGTGTTATCCTGTTATCCATGATGTGTGCTGAAAATGATTGAAAAATATTGAAGATGCAGGAGGTAAGGACTGGGGTAGAAGGCTCAACATGTGAGAGACGATAGGTGCTACAGCGTGTGAAGAAGCCATATTTGCTGCAACGGTACAAGCTGGCGCCAGATACCACCTGGAATGATACTTGGCTACGTCACTATGTATGAGTAAGTTTTAAGTATTTTGGTGACTGCGATCATGTCTGATGTCAATCCGGCTCTCAAGTTGATGCTGTATGTCATGGATATTTAGATGCAAATACTGGGATACCAATGCCTCAGTATAGCCACACATGCACGATATAGATTCATGTCATATTGTTGTGTGAACGAGTGCATTAATATCATTAATATCACCATCGGACATGGGTGACAGATTCAACAATTCCAATGGACTCCCGATGGCGTCTGAGGATAGCGAAGAGTTTCTGACCATTCTGGGGAAAAAGATGGGCAAGCTCGTGAAGGGTGGCGATGCAGAGCCCTGGAGAAACGACTTTTTACTCTTGGATTATTTTTTTTGTGAAAAAGCATTAATTGCTGATTCAGTTGCATGTGATGATTGAACAATATTGAACATGCGTATCAGACTATCTTGTTTATCTTGTGAGACTTGTGGAGTTTCAACAGATTTCAACGCATTTCAAGGGATTTCACATGGGATTTCAACGATGTGTGTTGTCTTTTTGTCAGATTTGTTAGATTTCTCAGATGTTTTTAGGACATCGACACCGCGGCTCGCATCGTCCTCTACGACTGGCAGCGCGGGCGCATTCCGTACTTCACCGCGCCGCCGGAGCTGCTGGAGACCGAAGAGGACGAGGCCGGCGCTGGCGGAGCCGGAGCGGCACCATCTGGGCCCGCAGGGCACGTTCCAACGGAAGCAGCGATCGCGGAGATTCCGTGCGTCCACGTCTTCGATGAGGAGGACGTTAAAAAGTGACCAAAGTCGCATCAAAAGTCGATTTTTAAAAAAAATGATGAGATTGACATGATTGTTTTAAAAAAAAAAAACAGTTTGATCTTGTGCTTTGAAATGCTTTGAATCTGTTTCTGGTCATAGTCTGTGAACATAAGGCGCAATGCCGCATACTGGTAAGGTTGACTTGAAGGTTGACTTGAAGCTGTTTGATGATGTCGGGCTCTCGCCGTTGCAGGATCGGCGTGGAGAAGCAGCTCCAACTGCACCAGCTGCACCAGTCAGGAATCCCAGAGACACCGAGGACCCCACAAGTCAAAGAAAAGACGCCATGGCAATCATGGCATGCCATGGCCAAATATAGCGAAATATTGCCAAATAGGGTGAATATGTTCTCATAGGATAGATCTGCAAGGACAAAGATAGGAACAGATTGTCATGATGGTACTCACACAAGACCTGGAAGAAGTAGAGATGCACTCTGTCAAAGTCAGTCATGTCTCCAGAAAATTCCAGGAAGACTTTCCCATCGAGTCTCCTCAAACGTTGAGATGTCAGGCAGAAGAAGCAGAAGGAAAGGAGGCACCGGCTGATGCTGAAACACGAAAGCGACCCGCACCTGAGGTGGGGTGTCTCCGTGTTCCCGAAATTTCCCGAGCAGGTTGTCCATGGTTGTCCTCTACGCTGCGTACTCCACTCGCAACACCTATACTGTACTTACTATACTTCAAGTGATTTTGAACCTTGATTATATTATACATGGTATACATGGTATATTTCAACAAGTGCTTAACATATGGATGTTCCATAGAGTTGCTGTCATCGGCCCTTTGAGGCAGAGGTGGCCGAAAGGCCCAAGAAGGCTCGTAAAAGAAAAGCACGAAAGACGAGGTGAAAACTCGGTGGCGCCGGGTCAACGGGTCGGAAGATTTCAGATGTTTGGAATGGCAATGTTTTGGAAGTTGAGTCTCTGTATGTCTCTCTTTTGGCCGAAGGCCAAGTACTTTTCCCAGCCAGGACTTGTAAATTGGCTTAAATGTTTAACATCATCTTGTATTTTGCCAATGTCACAAACATGTTTTCCAAAGTGAGAAATCGTTGAGATGAGAATTGAGAAACATCGAATTTCTTTTGAATGGTGATAATGGTGAATGTCGCTGTCCCGAGGCCAGCTGCAGCGACAGCCCCTGGGCCTGAGCCTGGCAGTTTGGACTGGAAGGCATGGCACATGGCACGGGACATGGCGGGCGCATGCTTTGGACTTGCTCCAAATGTGCGAAACCTGGAGCTGGAAGGACAACACGGGAAACCAATGGAAACCACATTACCATAGGAAACTTGCTTCACAAATCGGATTCTGTCGCCATTGGCAACTTCAACATCAGGATTAGACAAACAATTGGCACAATTGAAAAGGATCAAAACATGCACAACGTGATGCGATGTGCATAATGTGTACGATGTTCAAGTATGTTGGCTGAACAGACCTGCAAGGCAGTCGTCGCTGAGTTTGGCATTTAGTGAAACCACATTAGTTTTTGCATCGTCACAATTTCATGTCTCACAGAGTCTCACATCGGGAGTTTTTGCTGCATCACCATCAGCCAGCAGACCCTGGAAACAGTGTCGATGCTTCAGTGGAGCACATTGAGCACACTGAATGGCAGACGAATTCCTCAGATATGATTTGTTTCATGTTGTTTGCATGTCTATTCGAATGCATGGCTCTATTATTGTTGCTACTTCTGCATATTTCTTGTCCGCTGCCCGTGCCTTGGGGTTTTGGATTGCATCCGCTTTCAGACTGCTCAAAGCGATATTAATTATGAAAATGAGTATTCTGTGCGGGTATGAATCAGTGCCAAACAGACAAGCAGACGACAATGGACCCCAGATCTTCCGATGCTCTTGTTACAATTTGTTACAACAGACAAGCAGACAAGCCACCCGACTTTGACCGGAAGCAATTTGTGCGGTGAAACGGTGAAACGATGAAACGAGAAATCGAGCTTTATGGCGCATCAAGACATGCAAGACGTGACACTTCTCTTGCTTACGAAGTATGAAGAGAAGAAGAGAAGTGTGACAGAATGATCAGAAAGTGATGAGAAACGTGGTGAAAAAATGTGAAAAACATCAGTTTCGAAAGTTGCATGAGAAATTCGTGTGGACGCTGGGGCGCTCCATGTCGTTGCGTCACTTGGTGTGGACGCTGGTCCCGTCCTCGGTGCAACGGTGTCATCCCGCGTCCTGTGTGATGCGTGTGCCGAGGTCCGCTCAGAGCTGGGAGAGCTGCGGCCACAGAGAATCAAAACAACACAGTGCCATCAGTGCCATCAGTGCCATCTCCAATCTGAGACGGAACCTGTTTCAAACCTGTTTCAAACCTTCGCAGTCGCATGAGACGGAGCTTGCTGAAGGTTGGAACCAGTTTCGCTGTTTCAGCGCTTCAAAATGTGACGCATCTGTGACAAAAACACTCGTCACTGAGGTCGGATGAGCAGCAGCTGTCGCATCCTCAGAAGTCATGTTCAGGGGTTACACTATGTTACACTCACAGATGTTCTCTGGATGTCCTTCTTATTTTGTTGTGTTATTTTTTCCCCCGATGTTTTCTGTCTCTCTCTTTTGAGCGCCCTGTTCTAAATTGGATCAACAAGTACTGTAAAAAGTTGGTGCAGCTCGGAAATGGGCATGCAAAAAGGAGGTTGAAAGATATCTAGATGTCACATGATGTCACATGATGTCACATGATGATGGCTGTGGCAGCCCACAATGACCAGAGGCAGGTCAAGTGAAAATGTAGTAAGACACTGGCGTTGAAGACTTGTGAAGATCTGTGACAAACTTTGAAATCTGTCGGATCTGTCGTTTTTTGCTGAGGCACCAGACCTTTCTGCAGATTTTTCAGCAGCTGAGTTCTTCTGGCCGAGGCTTTGAGAGGATGTGAGTAGGCATGAGTAGGCAAGCAGGATGTAGAGACAAGATATGGCAAGATGATGCAAGATGATGCAAGTAACAAGGGGAGGCAACGTCAAAGGCAAGACATAGGGAAAGATGGTATCAGATGGAACAGGAAACATTTTTGAAATTCAGCAGAATCAAGGGTCAATATGGTCAATGAAGGGGTGTCTTTTTCAAGAGATATGAGGCAAAGTGAGGCAAGGTTGAAGGATGCAGACACGGATGCGAAGAGCGAACAGAAGAGGTGCCACGCCGCATGAAATTCTTGCCATGCCACAGGCACAGTTCTTCGTGCTGAAGATCTCATCGTCCAGCATTTGCAAGGATTGGAATCGGACTGGAATGAGTGGAAGCGAAAAATTGCTCCGACAGGAGGTTAAAACGAAAGTCCGCCTTTCTCACATTTACTCATCACCATGATGTACTTCCCTTCTCCTTCATTCTGCTGAAGTCCTTTCTCAATTTCCATCATCTTTCCATATCTTTCCATCATCTTTGCATTTGATTCATCTCTTTTGATCTCCTTTCATCGCCTATCTGACCTATCTTTCTTTCAATGTCCGTTTCATTCCGTGAATTCCCAAAGTTTCACGGTGGATTTCCCGCGTTGCGTGGTTTCTGAGGACTTGGGCGGCAGCGCGGCCAAGACAGGTGCCGCGATCCCGAGATCCCGAAATCCGATACAACAAATGTGCGGTTCGTCCGGATGTGGAGAAAGATGGAGAAAGATTACACTCTGGAAGAGTTCTCATATATTCAGTATATATTATATATTCTCAAATCTCAATCTCATCAATCTGATTCATATTCTGACAGGAAAGATTTCAGCTATTCATCAACTTCACCTCAGATCTCATCATTTCACTGCCGTCCATTCTGTCCATCGACAACACAGGCATCTTCGGTTCCAAAGTTTGAGAACTCGGCTGCATCATCCCGCTGCGAGGCCTCAGAGTTGTACGAAATCCTAGATGTAAGGAGCAAGAAGGAACAAGGAGGAACAAGGTAGAGCAAGAAGGAACAAGGTAGAGTATGGCAGCACTTTTGAGTTTCCTTGAGTTTGACGACTTGTTTGCTTCCGAGTCTGAACAGACTGCAATCCAAGCCGTGCATCTTGCGGCGTCTTGCGCACAGGTCGGTCCTGGCGCTGCTGTTTCATCTGCGAGCTGATGGAGGCATACATGGAAACTGAGATGCTAAGCAGAGAAAAAAATGACCAACATCAAGTGAAAATATTGAAATTCGTTTATGTAATGTAATAAGCCGACGTAGATCCCCAACAGCGGTTGGTTTCAAACAGTGGTCCAACTTTGCAACCCAAGACGGATTAATGATGGCAGGAACAGGATTCCATAGCCTAAGTCTCTTCGGCGATTTTTTGCCCGCCCTGCCCCGTCCCCTTTTGGACCAAAGGCAAGATGAGACATGTTCTTTAAGAAAGCGCGCATAATTGAATTTACATACATTTGGTTACAAACGAATGGCAGTATTTGCAGACCACGGTGTGTCATTAAGTGTTTACAAAATTGTGTGTGTGTGTGTTGGTTTGGGATTATCTTGTCGTGCTTGGACAACATCGGTCAGTTTGCGCAAGTGATTGGTGAAACAGTTGGTTTTGGCCAAATTGTCCATCATGATTCCAGAATTAGTTTCATGTCAATACTTGGTTGTTGTGTCACAACTGTGTCTGAAGTTTCATTGTGTGTTGCTGTTTGGTCACTTAGCTTTAAAAAAATCATCTACCTGGCTTCGAGAAGCCTCACACAGGTTTGCTGCCAATATTTAGGTGTTCCAAGGCATCGAACTTAATTGCTTGATGTGGCATGTGCTTTGGTAGATGCGACATCGGAACAGTTCAAACAGAAGATTTTACAGCAACATCAGAACAGGTCAGTCGACCGACGCTGTGCGCCCACTGAGCAAACGAACATGAATCGGCATGTGCGGAACCCGCCACAAAGCACCCAAGATTGGCTGGGGGATTTCCGGAATCCCTTGTGTTCCTGGAACCTTGTCTTCCTGGAACCCTCGTTTCCGGAACCTTGGCACAACCCACAGCGTATATTGGAACCCTGGGTTTGCGGAACCGAGACGCGCTGATTTATTGTCACGCTGTGCCCCCCCCTGTCAGCGATTGCTCGTTGACAGGGCCTATATGGTCCTGGAACCTTGGTTTCCTTGAAAATTGGTTTTCTGGGACCCTGTCCGTAGCATGAACCTTGGTACAACCCACGGCGTATATCCGACCCTGGGTTGTTTCCGGAACCTCGGAACCTTGCCAGAACCCTGGTTCTCTGGAACCTGGGCTGGGCTTCTTGAAAATTGTTGTTCCGCAACCTTGTCCCTGTCCGGAACCTGTGGCATAATCCAGGAAGTATATCCAAACTGTGGGTCCGCATCCGCGGTGGTTCTCGGAACCTTGTCGGAACCCAGTGTTGCTGGAACCTTGCCGGAACCCTCGTTCCCCAAACTCTGGGTTTCCAGGATGTTTCAAAATTGGTGTTCCGGTGATTCCAGAACCGCTCGAAACCATGGTAAGGTTCCCGGAACCTTGTCGAAAGCCAAGTGTGCCCGGAACCTTCCTGGCGCCGAGAACTTGGGGATCCCGGAACCTTGACGTCCCGGAACCCAAAAGGTAGCCAGAACCCATTGTTCCCAGAACCTTGCTTGAAAGTCTGGTTTGCGGAACCTGGAACCTTGCCCCGAACCCTGGTTCCCGGAACCCTGAGTTCCGGAACCTTGCCCGGAACCCTGGTTCCCGGAACCGGCAGCGGTTGGTTTCAAACAGTGGTCCAACTTTGCAACCCAAGACGGATTAATGATGGCAGGAACAGGATTCCATAGCCTAAGTCTCTTCGGCGATTTTTTGCCCGCCTTGCCCCCTCCCCTTTTGGACCAAAGGCAGGATGAGACATGTTCTTTAAGAAAGCGCGCATAGTTGAATTTACATACATTTGGTTACAAACGAATGGCAGTATTTGCAGACCACGGTGTGTCATTAAGTGTTTACAAAATTGTGTGTGTGTTGGTTTGGGATTATCTTGTCGTGCTTGGACAACATCGGTCAGTTTGCGCAAGTGATTGGTGAAACAGTTGGTTTTGGCCAAATTGTCCATCATGATTCCAGAATTAGTTTCATGTCAATACTTGGTTGTTGTGTCACAACTGTGTCTGAAGTTTCATTGTGTGTTGCTGTTTGGTCACTTAGCTTCAAAAAATCATATACCTGGCTTCGAGAAGCCTCACACAGGTTTGCTGCCAATATTTAGGTGTTCCAAGGCATCGAACTTAATTGCTTGATGTGGCATGTGCTTTGGTAGATGCGACATCGGAACAGTTCAAACAGAAGATTTTACAGCAACATCAGAACAGGTCAGTCGACCGACGCTGTGCGCCCACTGAGCAAACGAACATGAATTCGGAATTCAGTGAGGGGCCACAAAGCACCCAAGATTGGCTGGGGGATTTCCGGAATCCCTTGTGTTCCTGGAACCTTGTGTCCTGGAACCTTGTCTTCCTGGAACCCTCGTTTCCGGAACCTTGGCACAACCCACAGCGTATATTGGAACCCTGGGTTTCCGGAACCGAGACGCGCTGATTTATTGTCACGCTGTCCCCCCCCCTGTCAGCGATTGCTCGTTGACCGGGCCCTTTTGG